TTTTTGCACAAAACTTGACACCATTTGAAAATCAAAACCTCTTTTAGAGCTTTGGTGTCTTCTTTGGTGACATTATTTTTTTTTAGAACGGTTTCCCAATTTTGGATTTTCTCCTGTGTCGTGGGTGCGTTTACAAACAAACAAGTTCACATAAACGTGACACCGAAACCCGGAACAACAATCTGTGGATCACACAAAGAGTTGTTCCGTGCGGTTATTGAACCTGCGACATGTTGCGCGGCAGCCACTTGCCCAGCCACCGCGCCGACCGTGCAGTCAATTCCTTACCATTATCTGCCATTTTGTTGTCATTTTCCATAAATAGGATACATTTGTTTTCTTACGTGATAAGCCGATAAACGAGCAGATGAAACACCTGATGGTAAGCAATCGGCGTCGCCCATGGACGTCTGGAAAACCAGACGTTACAAGTACATTGCCGAACTTTTGGGGATCATATAAAAATAAATTTAGTTCCTAAAATGTATTTTGCTCTCCATCTTACACCACACGCTAAGATACGAAGCAGAAAGCTACCGATACGTACAGCGACGGTCGAGCCCGCCATCTTTCTTTTTTATTTCGTTGCGTTTCATTCAACGCTCTCAAAGGGATTCACTTTCGCTTTATCAACAGTATCGGTTACTCTTTCAGTGACGTTCTTAAATAAAATTATCTTTTTACTTTTAAGCTACTTAAAAGAAAAACCAGGTAATAAATTAGTGGTCCCGATCAAACTTCTTTTTAATTTCATATAAAATTGTTATGGGATATTTATAATATGTCTCTTAGGCAGACTTACTTTTTTACACATCATAAAAATCCCTGAAGATGCATATCTTTTTAGTCACACATTACGTGATTGGTTAGCTTTTGTTTATAACTATTTCTTGTTCACAAAATTAGATACGTTTCCTATATAGAAATATAGAGAATAGCATGGAATTAGCAGTTGAAAAATTATTTTGTTGCAATTCAACACGCCACATGTACATACATACATGCATCATTCTACCTTAAAAATATTCTTGCCTTAGTAAAAATACGGCGTATAAAATCATTTTCTGTACAATCTGTGTACATTTGAAAAAGAAAATATCCAAAAAGGTTCCTATCTACACTTGAATCTCTCAGACCACTTCACATACAGGTGTGCCTGACCCATACCTTTCCCATAGCTGTCACCATGGAGTCCTGTTACCAACGTGTGAACCTTTTCTGTGCGTTCCGTTGTCATCATTTATTATTTAAAAAACGATAGTTTTTAAAAGTCATCGTGTATAGCCACGTCGTTTTTAGTCACAAATTGAGGGCAGTAGTTAGCCTTGAGTAATTTTTTTATAATATAATCTTAAGACTAATAACAATTCGAATCCACTCATTACTTTGTATAACCAGACAGTGATAATATTATACAACAAAATACCTTCAAATGAACTCATCAAATCTGTATCAATTCCTACAATTATTAGGTTTTCTGCGAGAAAACCAAAAACACAAGAAATAACATCAAAACACCACAATATCAATATATTTTTACGACTGCCCTATCATATTCCCGTGATTGTTCTAGGAAATGCCTATTCGTTCACACATAGCAACAGTGACACAACTAATAACAAAAGCTCATAACAATTGACATCAAAGATGGCCGCCGCAAATAGTGACCAATAAGCGCGATTGTCTCAAATTCAAGAAACGAACGACCTTCGTCAGTTGCTGGCCAAGCAATCGTCGGCTGTCACGAAATCCCCAAATCCCGCCACGTAGGGATCTGGCGGCTAGTTTTATTTCATTACCGGACAAAACGTCCTGGGATTCCCCAGGATTTTGGCGCCCAACATGGGACTGACAGGTTCCGTTATGATTTTCATTTTCTCGTCTCAAATTGTCGTTGTTTCTCGTCATTTTAATGTCAGAATCATAGCTTACATTACAAATTGTTTTATATATTAAGTTGATAATTACAAACATAATTTACATTTCCTATTCCGTCCGTGCGTTACTGCAGGGGTGCCCACTAGAAATCAGTGCTTGGTGACTTATATGCCTGACTTACACTGAGTGGGTGACCCTTTTAGCATAGGCATGTTGTCAGCGTCTCTCTTCTATTTCTTCTGTTTAATTTTTAACTTAATGTTTTTCTTACTTCCACTGTCAACACCTTTATTGTCTTTTTATATTTTATTTATGCTGCATCGTGTCTAGTGCTGAATAAATGTTTTTTCTTTCTTTCTTTCTTTCTATTATGTATAATACCTCTAATATCCAAGTTTTTATAACTCACACAATACAATTTAACAGTTTCCTTAAACTTGTAACAACAAGCTAACTTCAAAGCACAACCCATCACGGTAATTCGAGGGTAGTTATCACACGTTCCAACTTCATACAGCATTTGTCGAAACTATGGCGTCTAGAACACGTACGACCTTGTGCCAACATGTTTCACCGTAATTACATTTTCTTTGTGAGAGTCTGGTCGTTTACATTCTCCTTTTCCATGCCCTAACAGTTTTTCGGCATTTTCGTGTTGCCCTCTTTTAGTCCAGTGCATGCGAAAAAGATTTTTTTTTATTTTCACGACGCTCAAAATGTTACGCCTGTTGGGAAATGATATAATACTTTTTGCTCTTTACTCTAGACGCGATTATGAATGGAAATGAAAAGAGAACTGAATGGGATAAAGTAATCTAATTATTCTTTGCGCTGACGTTTTCAAATTAAAGTTGTTTTTTTATACTATGAATTAGTACTTTGAAATTGAAGACGTTTCTGTAATCCTAATAATATACTAATTGTGTCCGTACATTTTAAAGTGGTGAAGTAGTTCAGATAATTGTGGAATAGCAAATAATAATATTATATTACAGTTACAGAATCTTCATCTAACTACCTCTGTATTATCTGTATTACAGAACGCATAGAAATACAGTATGTTATATAGAAAAGCCTTTTAAATACCTGGATAAATCTTTTGAACTACATATATGACTATGTCCATAGCGAATATGTGTAATTATCATGTACTTACGTATCTGAATGATATTTCTACTCAAATATTGAATCGAAATATGAGATAGACGCATTATACATATTCATTGGAAGATTCGTGCAATATCGAGGCAGGTCTTTACATCATTTTTTTTATGAGGTAAGCAGGTATATGAGCATACGGATCACTTGATGGTAACCAATCGGCACCACCCATGGATACCCGAAACATTAGAAATTTAGCCTCAGTTCTAAAATGACGGTTTTTTAGTTTTTAATTTGGCTGTATACCAAAGCCACAGAAACAGCAGAACCTTGTTTATACACGAAAAGTAAAAGTTTTTTTCTAAATACAACTTTATCCTTTGCTCCAACCATAGTCAGATAAAAATATGTTTAACTAACTTCATGCCCGACTTCACTCGGCTTCAAAGTTTTGACATACTGACATCAAAGGAACTTCGTTTTGTATTCCATTGGAGCCATGTCTGCTGTTAACGGAAATAGTACCTTATATCTTTCAAAATATAGACGGTAGTCCTTTGCTGTTAGGCAGATCATCCAAGCAGATAGATTGCCACATTATTCTTCTATTGTGTTAGAAGAAAGGTTAACATTTACTTGTATATCAAAGTTCAGGCTGGAATCGATTCAATATTTCTATGTCACGGGCTGGCAGGTATTTTGAGGGATTTCTAAAAATAAACTAGAAGAGAATAATACAACTATACCACGTCTACATCTAGGCGTAGGTTTCTATCAGCTCCATAAACATCACCCGCAGAAAGGCATAAATATTATTATCAACAATGTATTCAACAATGTCTAAATAATTCCCAAACTAAACTAAGAACGTCCACTCCACAATAATTTACTCGGAAAATTTTAATGAACGATAGTAAGCACCGCAAACAGGTGTTTCACATCGGAATTCGACTTAATAACCTTAATAACTCTATGAAACACTATAAAGGCCCCCAAGAGTGCCGGGACCTCTGGCCAGTCCCTAATGGCTCCCTCTCCCTCCTCCTCTCTGCTGTTATTAGGCCATAAATCTCTGTATATGTTTAGCTTGGTGTGAATAAAATACCTTTTAAGACGCCCTCTCAGTCTGCCGAGTAATTTCCTTGTAAGCGTTTTTGTAATAATTTTGAGTGGGTAGTGGGAAGATTTTTGTTATGATTCCGAGGGTATTTTGGGAATGCTTATCTTTCTATTTTTGACGTGTTTTATTGTGATATTTTTATGAAGAGGATCGGTGGAAACGAAATGTTGCTCTCATTTACGGAAAGCCTTAACGCTTCCTGGTTGACACTAGATGCATTAATTCTTTTTGACAAAACAATGTTAGCTGAAAATCGCGGATAACTCACGGGAATATACTGAAAAAAGGTCTACTAGTTTCGAAACACAGAGGGGTTCTTCATCATGAGCAGCGTGCGCGGTCACCAATTTAGTTTGTCTCACGATAGTCATTATAAAAACATAACAAAACAATGTTATTAAAAATTATCAAAACACACATGACGCATCGTTCCACGGTGGAATAAATAGCCTCCAAAACTTTTTCTTTTACCGAACTAAAAGCCTAACGTTACTTCAAAAAGGCACATTAGACTATATTTTGGTGGCACGACCTCTTCGAGGGAAAATCTTAAAGCACTCATGCGAGTGCGACCAGCTGATCCCTCCAGAGACCCACCGACTCACAGTTAGAATATTTAGCTACAATATTTATGTACCCATGTCCTTGTACGAGGCCAGCGTTTTAGTGTTCCACGATTTATGTAACGCTATTTTCTATGTTATGTACCACTAGGTACATACATAAGTTAGCTATGGTCAAAGGAATATGTGTCTTAAAAATGACTATTTATACTACATTTAAGAAAAAAGTAGCATCCATGAGTCGATGCATTTCGAAGTTCGTATGTACACTTCCAAATTCAAATTTTAATCGTAATCTCCTTTTTCATTATTTTAACATGTGTTTCTATCTCTTTCAGGTACATTGCAAATAGTGAAGAGTGAAGAGGAGGACCACGGCAAGTTCGAGTGCGTCGCTGAGAACTCCATCGGAACTGAGTTCTCCAAGCCTACTGTACTTTATGTTAAAGGTAGGTGCCATGTATCTACTAGGTTCTTCAGAAGATTTTGCTTCTAACCGGTTTCGGCAAGTTTTCGAAAGTATGCATATTCGAAGAGTAAAAGCTAAAACCAAAAGTTGTAATTTAAAAGCAAACTTTAAAAAACCACTCATTACCTAGTCAGTCTTTTCTAATTATCTGAAAACGATTCTCTTCGTCATCCCCTGTGACATACTTCAAACAACAAGACTTCTAATTTCCACCACCGCTTATAGAAATATCTTCACATCTAAGATATCATTGAAAAGAGGTCAACCGCCTCAAAAGGACCATGAAGTTTTACCCCTAGAAAGTCAGACCCTTGCGGTCAAATTACCTAATGATCACCGATTAATGTTCTCACGCAACCATCATTACGATAGACAGGGACACAACATACTTCCCCCATACTTCAGAGTGAGAGGTCCGACGCCATTTGTCTATAACCAGCATGTTTGTCGTTTAGGGCAGTTGGGGCGGAAATATTTTAAACAAAATGGGGTGCTCTGAAATTGTGGTGAATAATAAATTGTTACTTAAATTGGTAGTTTAAATTGGATCGTGCGGACTATATGTGGAATATTGGTTTTGGAGTACGTACTGTTAAATGGAAGCAAATATTTTATTAGGCTATGTAAGTGGTAAATCTGCTAAAATTCTATTTCGACTGTTGATGTTAGGGTGAGCTTATTTGTTAAAATAATTGTATTTACCGCAACTGACCGCCCGATCGCCCGAACAGCACCAGATCCCAGCATACGGTGCGTCGCGTTCCGCGCGCGCCTTAAAGAGCCATCAGACCACCTCAATTGGGGCCCAATAGGGTAGATACGGAGCCGCGGAGGACTTAACGGGTTGCCGGGATTCCGGCTCGAAATGTAGGGGTAGGAACGGGGTGGTTTTTAATCAGAGTATGAAACTCCCTTCCGCCTCACCCAGGCGGGAGAACTCATTCTATGATTATCGACCTTAAAAAAAAGAGATATTGCATCGTCATTTGCTCCATTCATCAAATACATAGGTGAAGCCTAAGCACTATATCTAGTTAACTCACATAGTCACAACTAAAATACATTCTTCACTTAAATAGGCTACGTGGAAAGTAGACCACGCGTAACGGTCGTAGACATAATATTCACAATATATTTACGAGATAACGTCGCGTTCCCGTCGCGTCCCCGCCGCGTCCCTGCCACGTCCCCGCTAACGTGTCGCCTCTAACTTTCATACATTAAGATAAAAGGGACTGATTGCATTGTTAAATACTTGTACCTACTTCATGGGTGTTGTTCTAGATTTTCTGACTTGATCTATTATTTATTAAGTGTGGAGGATCTTGTTGTATGAAGGTGTGATCTGAGCACCTCATGTTATAAATGAAGGCCTTAATTATTTATTTATTCGGAAGATCTCTAGTTAATCAAATCATCGGATCGGAAATGAAATGAAATGAAATGAAATGAAATGAAATGAAATGAAATGTAATGAAATATGTTTATTCGGCATAAGACATGCACGCCAGAAAAGACATATAAATATAAAAAAGCATAAAAACAGAAAAATTAAAAGATAAAATGGTCTGACCCTAGGACTGAGTGCGAAATGCAATGCATTCTCAACTGTTTAATTTTAATTGGGGCGACGTTTGACCACTATCTCGCTTGGTGGTAAGCGATGAGGGCGACGATGAAGGACGTCGTCCCATAAGCAACCTATTCACTAGGTCCTTGAAGATTATCTTCTATTTCAAATCGATGGTGCTGTGTAACATCCATCATAAGTTTCGTTTCGTTTTAATGGTTTAATGCCCTAAGTCTATTTAAGCAGACACATATTCTGTTATGAACCACAAAGATAAGTCATTATCAAAAAACACATATCATATAAATACCACTCTGTTTCACCACACACCATTTGCGTGACTCACACCAATTCAGGGAGCATACTAGTGCAAGTTAGCCAATTTAGTTAGTTAACTTTTGGTGATAAAACGAAGTGCCCAATTCATATGGAACTGCATATGTGAACACGATGATATCTCTCTAATTTATCTCTGTACTAACGAAACTTTTCTAATATACGTAACATACACTTATTGTAGTCTGTGAAACCTCGAATGAACCTCGAATGTGGTCTAATAATTATTTTGGACCAGCTTTTGTGAACGATTTTGATACAAAACTGTTCTTAATTTAGTACAGTGCCATCTGTATTTTATTTCAAGCCATAATTAAAGGAGAGAATAAAAAATAAACCGTACCAAAGGATGTAACTCGTGACCATACACAGGTTATTTTTAATAAGCAGAGTAAAAAATCTTATGAGCGGCTTCTTTTAATTACTATAGACGATTCCAAGGCAAAGTAACCAAAATCAACATCTAATAGCGAATGAATGAAATTCATTATTATTTAACCTCTCAATCATTTCAACACAACTTCCAATTTCAGCAACTAGATCCAAAAAGTTACTTAGAATGCATAGTTTCTAAAATCTCATCTATCTTTCTACCAAAATCAATTTCAGTGGACTTACGAGTATAAGAAAATATCTAAATAAACATATGACTCACAATAAATTCTCTATTTCTTAAAACTACAATCTGAGATAGAAAAGTAGATCTCCAACAAATGCATTGCGAGTTTTTAAAACAAAGAGTTTGTCGAAATCTTTGTGTAATCATTCGGGGTGACTGACTGATGTAAGACATGAGCTGTAGCGGAGAAGAATTTATAGAATCACGTCCTTAGACGAATCTTATATAGAAATAATATGTATTGTATTCCAAAAATATAACATGAATAGTCTTTTGATATTCAATAGTTAAATGACGTGAGTCACACACAGGGTCAATTAAATTAAAAATGAGAGTTAGCTACTGATTAAATGACTTGCAGTTCGAATAACAATTAACCCTCAAAAATTTCTTTCATTTAAATCATCGTTTATCATATTTGCATCACAATTCATCATCGTCGTTTTACATATTTTTACAAAACACTGACACTATAACTAAAAGTTATACCAAGTTAGAGAAACTCAAGTCTTAAGTAGCTGTATGTTTAACATGTTATATTTACGTATATTATATATAAATCACGCCTTTTGTCCCCAAAGGGGTAGGCAGAGGTGCACATTATGACACTTAATGCCACTATACAATGTAACACCGACTTTTCACTATTTATGTTATATGTCCCATGTAAAAAGTGGTGAGCCTATTTTCATATTCCGAGCACATTTCCAGACTCCGTGCTACTACTGAAAAACCCAGTTATACTTTGCCCGACCTGGGAATCGAACCCAAGGTCCCTTGCCCGGCAGTCGCACTTGCGACCACTCAGCCAAAGTAATACTAAACCTTTATTTTGATATCACGATTTCATATTGGACTCTTTTAACCGATATTGGCAAATCGATATCAGTTCTTATTACTTTTGAAAGCACACGAAAAAAACACCGAAATGCTTCAAAATTCGTAGAAATCCGTAACAATTCGTAGATTTGAACCACACGACAATATAGAAAGAAGTCTCAGAAGCCGAGTCTTATTGAATTAGTTGGCAACTTGACGAAAGGGACTGTTATTTTCATCTCGGAACCATTCCTCCTTTCAGCTTTTATTTTTATAAAAACTTTCTCTCTGTTATTTACAATTTGTTTAAAATCTTCCTTCTTTTATGTCTGTATATTAATTACGTTATTAGTTATTGTCGTGTTCTGTTTCTATTGAATATTTTTCTTTGCGACTTTTACGCTTACATTTTTACTGTACTATAAATGAAGGGTTTTCAAAAGGAATAAAAATCACCTATTTACAAATTATCTAATGTAGAAGATAACATAGGGCAAAGTGTATTGTACTAATTTCTTCAAATTTAATTTTTGAACCCTTTGATTACCGTGATTACACAATTAAAGAACAATAGGTAGCGGTCACCGGTGTCCTCGCGGTGTTTAACAGTTTAAGCCAAATGTCACTGAACTCTTTAAACATGACATAACATAACATCGCGCCTTTTATCTCCGAAGGGGTAGGCAGAGGTGCACATTACTGCACTTATGCCACTGTTCAATGTAACACCCACTTTTCACTATTTATGTTATGAGTCCCATGTTATAGGGAGCCTATTGCCGGGCACAATTCCAGACTCCGTGCTACTACTGAAATTAAAAAAAACCATTAATACTTTACCCGACCCGGGAATCGAACGAAGACCCCTTGCCCGGTAGTCCCACTTGCGACCACTCGACGACGAGGCAGTCCTACAAACCTGACTGGCAAAAAATAAAAGCCATCATCACATATGCTGACTAAATATAATCCTGATATATTTTCTTAAACTTGATCAAAACATATATTAATTATTCAAATCCACCGTAGAATATCAGTCATATTATTTCAAATAACCAAACATTACACAGATTGACCTAAAACTGCTCGCTAAGGTAACTACCACCAATCTATCATTGTAGTCAGTTTACTTGACCTGTGTTTATTTAGTTAAACCGATAGTTAAATAGTCAAACTATAGTTGACTAAATGTGGTTTTCGATGATAACCGGTTATTTGGTTCAAGTTTTGTTATATTGATATTGGTTGAGGTACGCACTTAGTAGCTATGAAATAGCGAATGTTAATCGGGTTTATATTTAATATGTTGTATACATAATGTAACACTTTTTTTCTATGATTAGGTCAACTGCATTATATTATGTATACATTGTCTAAACAATCTGAGCCTCTAGTCAAATGCCATATAGCGCTTATCCACAAAGAGAGTAGAAAACTAAATTATATAGGTATTGACGTCAATTTTGACATTTATTAGTATCATCCTAATACATTGAGTCATCTACTCTACAAGTAGACAAGCGCTAAAATAGCGTTTAGCTACAATACCTGGATTAGCACCTAAATTGACATTATACCTCAAAAAAAATTAATTAACCAATATATCTGACGTTGACGTTGTTGTCTTAACACTTAACATAATCGCTTATACGCGCTGCCGCTTCTCAATTAAACCGCTATCTTAAACGTCGATCAATCTTTCAGCTATCGATTCGAGCATTGACTACAACTATCTCCGAAATTACACAGTGGAACTCCAACAGTGATCAAGTACCGAGCTTATCTGTCTACACAACCACACTGATATTCACATTAATTTTAAATGTATTTCGTTCACTCAAGTGTCATATACACTAGACATTGTTGGACGTACCTATCACTTTGCATTACATGATTTTGAAAACGAATCACTCGTTGCATATGGGCAGACGTGGCCCATTCGTGCCGAAGCATGGCTCTCCTACACTTACATATATATCAACACGCCACACTTATACTTGTATACAATCCATCAGACCACCACGAATGGGGCCCAACAGGGCTGAAGCCGATTCGGAGCCGCGGAGAACCTAACGGGTTATCGGGGCTCCAGCTCAAAGCGCAGGAGAAGGAACGGGGTGGTTTTTAGTCAGTAAGAGTCTCACACTCCCTCCCGTCTCACCTAGGCGGGAGCAGTCATTCGATGATTTCCCCCCTTAAAAAACAAATACGTAGAGGTACAAAAGTCGGTACACAATATAACCTTGAGTAATTTAACAGAATCCTATAACTCTGCTTACCTGTGTCTACCCCGTGACATTGACAGAGGTCTCGTCCCAATCACGTTAAAAAATAACGCCTTTTTTGACCTTTAAGAAGGTCCTCCCATTCCTCATTCCGCCATATTCGCCGAAAATTGATATTTTTGTGAAGTAACCGTAATAACTTTTAAAATGTTTCTAGTTATAGGTTAAACTGTCAAAACAAGAGATCGAGTTTAGTAGCGTATTGTTTAGTAGATCTTTGACTTTCGGAGGACTTCGTGTTTATGTAGCAGTGCATAGAGATGGACTGATTTATTATTATGATGACTAATAGGTACCTTTAACCGCTTAACTGCCGGTATATAAGACACAATAGAAAATGCATTGTCTCGCGTAGATCTACGTTCTGGTACACGACGGGTTAAACGAGCAATTCTTGTGTATATGTATCAACGACCTCAGAAACGGCTCTAACGATTTTCTTGAAATTTTGTTTATTATTAATTTGAAATTAAATCGGTCTAACTAGGTTTTATTTTTGAAATTGTCGTTTATTAAAGGAAACACCGAATTGTTGTTTGTTGATTAAAAGACCAAATTGCAACTACGTAGTCCAAAGTATCGGTTGCAAGGGTATAACCTGTGAGTCTTCAAGGCCCGAGTGAATAGGTTGCTTATGGGACGACGTGCTCCATCGTAGACTGCATCATCACTTACCATCAGGTGAGATAGTGGTCAAACGTCGCCCGACCAAATATATAAAAAAAAATATCTCGACTCGGAAAGTAAAATCGGATTATTAATGAATATTAAAAATTTAGTATTCATAATGTTACCTAACTTGCAGTACTTCATAAGTACACCAGGGACTAACTACATGCAATGATTAAGTTTTGTATAAATTAACAACGAACATACGTATATCAGGATTATAATTTATAATAGTATAGGTAGTATGGTACAAATGGGATGGTCCCCAGACGATACCTAAGTACGTCCGGTGCCCGGCGAGCCTTCAGGTTGAATGACCGTTCCTAAGCTTACGGTGAATTAAATAAATTAATATTTAATAACTTTATTATGCTTATTAATAAAACAATCAACGTTATCAACGTAGGGAGCCCCCACTGGGCCTCCCCTATACATGGAAGTAGAGGTTACTCGTAAGCTCCACACTTCGCAGGAGGATTGAAGATAAAAGGTACATGTTTCAAAGCATATTCAAGTTACAGCTGTGACTTTAACTTAACCTTTTTTTAACTCGTCGAGTACCGTATTTATAGACACAATTAAAGAACAATAGGTTGCGGTCACCGGTGACCGCTTTGTGTTTGACAGTTTAATGGGGTAAATCATCCAATGACTTCAACCGTCTTTTTTTTATGGGGGGAAAATCATCGGAAGACTGCTCCTGCAGGGAGTGTGAGACTCTTACTGACTAAAAACCACCCGTTCCTTCTCCTGCACATCGAGCCGGAGCCTCGGTTGCCCGTTAGGTTCTCCGCGACTCCGAATCGGCACCTGCCCTATTGGGCCCCATCTGTTGTGGTCTGATGGCTCTTTGAGGCGCGCGCGGATGGGTAAAGCGAGAGAGAGTGTCAGACTCTTACTGACTGAGCGTTCCTACTCCTGCTTTGAGCTGAAACCCCAGTAACTCACAAGTTTGTCCGCAGCTCCGGTCACACATTTAACTAACTACCTAACTAACCAGTATTGGGTACTTAGTGTGCTCAGCTTAAACTGAGTTGGCGAGCCCTTTCGTCGTGGGCATGCTGCCACCCTGTTGCTCTTTTATTTTCCTTTTTTATAATGTTTTTTTTTGCTTTTTTTGTTTTTTTACTGCTGTTTTTTTTTTTAATTTTATTTTATGTTTTGTTTTATATTTTGTTTTTCAATGATATTTTATGTGTGTATATTTGGTGGTCCACGCCTGGTGGCGAATAAATTATTTTTCTTTCTTTCTTTAACTTGGCTTATATATTAGCTCGAACCTAAAACCACATATTTACCAGTTAGATTTGCAAACGTTGGACCAACAGCCCAGTCGGACAAATGATTGCCTATAAAACGAGGCATTACGTTCCTTTTCACGCGTACTCCTCGTTTTTGCGCGGCCACCTGACCTCCTGTCACTCAATTACATTTTTATTTTCTATTTGCGTTCCGTTTCATCCCAACCCGTTTATTTGCGTACATATCTGGTTTTATGTTCTAAAAACACGAAATTCCAAACTGTTCGGCCATTGTTTCAAATTTAGTGTGACATTTTGAATTACTTTGGGTTTTACTGTAATTAGTCTGACGATTTGGTCTAAATATCTGTATCTATAAATATATATAACGATTGTAAGGTATAATATGTATTAGCTATATATTCACAGATTTGGAATTTTATATACAAATTATACGACAGCTTTTATACATCAGCCTAAAGATTTCCACTACAGAGGTTTTAAGAACGATAAATGTGGGATAGCATACTTCGCGAATGGGCCGGCTCGACCGGAGTGATACCCTTTCAGAAGACCGACGTGAAACAATGCTTGCGTTTTGTTTCGTCGTGAGGCACAATCCCCCCCCCCCCCGATTTCCCTAATCCCTGAATCCCCAACAATCCTCAAATTCTTAATCCCCAAAAAGCCGGTAACGCCTCTGGTCTTCCAGGTGTCCATGGGTAACGCCGATTGTTTACCATCAAGTGATACGTCTGGTCGTTTAAAAAAAGCTGAGTAAAGCGTTCGGCATGGAACATTTTCTATTTGTTATAACAAAATTTCGACAAGGAACTAGTTAAGTAGGTGTGTAAATATGAAAATCGATACGGTGACCTTGTCTTTGGTGTACTATTAAATAATAGTTTTACATAAAAGTATGGGAACAATTATTTCTACTTCCGAATTACGTGTTCGATCGCTATCGTGTCGTATTCTACCTGAACTACAATAAAATGTATATCATGTAGTTTTTAAGAACATAACACATCACGCCTTTTATCCCCGAAGGGGTAGGTAGAGGTGTACATTATACCACTGTACAATGTAACACCCACTTTTCACTATTTATGTTATGACTCCCATGTACTTATTACATGAGCCTATTGCCATATACCGGGCACAATTCCAAACTCCGTGCTACTACTGAGATTTTTTTTAAAACCCGAGTTACTTTGCCCGACCCGGGAATCGAACCTGAGACCCCTTGCCCGGCAGTCGCACTTGCGACCACTAGGACAACGAAGCAGTCTTTAAGAACTAGCAATATAAATGCGAAAGTAAGTTTGTTTATTGTTTATCACGCTTTATCTATTCAACCAATCTTACTAAGATTTCACATGCATATTGTTGCTAAGTATGGCTAAGTGTAGAGGCTATTCTAATAACGTCGCCGGGGTCGTGCGGTCCATGGCCCTCTACGGCGCCCCTGTTTGGGCGCCGAACTTGTTGCGGCGTCCTGCTCGGACGCTGCTCATGTCACAGAGGGTCATGGCGATCCGAATGATCCGCGGATACCGCACGATCTCTGGGGAGTCGGCGAACCTCCTTGCCGGATTACCGCCGTGGGATCTGGAGGCGAAGGTGCTCGCGCGCGTGTATAACATGCGCGCGGAGGCACGTCGCCGGGGCGAAACTCCGCTGCCGCGCCAGATAAGTGCGTGGCGGGATGAGCTCCGGCGCGATCTCATGGCGGAATGGCAGCAACGACTGTCGCAACCGGGGGCTGGGCTCGCTGCCATTGCAGCGGTAAGTCCCCTCTTTGAGGAGTGGCTTGAGAGACGCTACGGCGTCCTCACCTACCGCCTGACGCAGGTCCTCACCGGACATGGAAGTTTCGGGAGGTACCTGTGTCTGATGGGGCGGGAGGAAACGCCCGGGTGTCATCACTGCGAGGACCGCCCTGAGGACACGGTGGAACACACAGTGGAAGAATGCCCTGCGTGGGCTGAGCACCGCCGTGCCCTCAGGGAAGTGATCGGCGATGGCGACCTCTCGCGTCCGGGCCTAGTGCAGGCCATGATGCGGAGCGAGGGGGATTGGGATGCCGTCTCCTCCTTTTGCGAAGCAGTCATGCTAGCTAAGGAGGAGGCGGGACGCGTGAGGCAGCGTAGCGCTGCCTCCTCGCAACCCAGCCATCGCGAAGGACACACCGGGCGTCGGGGATCGCGAGACGATCTCCGGCCACCGTAAGCGCGGGCCTGCGGACGGCGAGCATGGGTGGCTCCCCGTCCGACCAGAAACAGACCCGAGCGTACGGCGCGTCGCGTTCCGCGCGCGCCTCAAAGAGCCATCAGACCACCACAGATGGGGCCCAATAGGGCCGATGCCGATTCGGAGTCGCGGAGAACCTAACGGGTAACCGGGGCTCCGGCTCGACGTGCAGGAGAAGGAACGGGGTGGTTTTTAGTCAGTAAGAGTCTGACACTCCCTTCCGCCTCACCCAGGCGGGAGCAGTCATTCGATGATTTTCCCCCCTTAAAAAAAAAAAAAAAAAAAAAAATCTAATAACGTCAGGATACTAAACAAAACGTAATATTGTTCCCAAATACCTTTTCATTTTAAACCAGCCTATAAACATCCGAAACAAATCACAGGCGCAGCACTGATTCATACATTACTTCCCATTTCCGAACGCTCTCAGCCAATAGTCTAGCTCACAAATCCACTGTAATAAGGCCGGATGAAATCTGAGGACGAAATGAAAGGCATAAAGAAAGACATATTACTACTGGCCAGTACCCAACTACCTCCAATCTCCACTAATAAGGTTGTAGGCGTAAAACGAAACTTATTCATGGTTTGACCACAGAGTAAAAATTTTTCGTAGATTTGGCGGGATGGAAATGTCAAGTTGGATGTGTTTTGAGTTTTTAGTGTGGATAAATAGTTTTGTATAAATGTGGAGTTATATAATATCAGGATTTTCATTTATATTTATCTAAATTATTTATTTAATAATTAGTTGGGAAAAATATTGAGTGGTAATAAGTTATTATTATTTTTTCCAAGTACATAATTTGATAGATCAACAAATAATTTTGTTTTTTTTTTTTCAACTATAAAATTAAACCTCCAACTTCAAAATGGCATATCTATCTGTGAATAATACGATGCAACTCATCTTGTCACCAAGGGAAAATGTGGGTACTTCACTAAAAGACTATGATAGTGTTAATCAAGTGACGAATGTAATGCAGATTGTACATCATTTGTAGTCAATCAGTTGACGTGTGCAGACGTGTCTTGTTTTACAAACTAGAATAGTATTAACTGTATGTGTGTATTGCGAGTTCGGCTTACGCACGGTATCAAACTAGAAAATGAGGTAAGGGCTTGTTTTAACCATACTACTTATGATTAACACAATTGTAATGGCAGACTCTTATTTACTGATTTATCGATAACCCCCAACAAGCCAAAAGTATAAATTCTTTCAATGCATTCAATGACTATTACTTACCCAATCAATTTCGATTTTTAATACTTATAATGTTAAGACGCTCGCTTTTTATGCAAGAGGGTGCGTGTTTGAAACCTACAAACGGCAAGTACCAATGTGATTTTTTTCCAATTGTAATATATGTACTTTCTAAGATTATTTAGACACCACTGACAAACGGTGAAAGAAAACACCGTGAGGCAACCTGGGCTTATAATTTGTAATTTTAAGTTTGAAATCGGCAACCCACAATGAACAATCGTGGTGATTAATGCTCCAACCTCCATGTGAGACGAGGGTTTGCTTAGCAGTGGGCACTTATAGGCTGTTGATGGAGTAGAAAGTATTACTATATATTCTAACTACAGTCCAATAAATTTTCTTAACCAAAAGTTAAATTTCGGGAACTATAAACTCAAAACTAACATTGGAACACCGTCAAATCAACGTGAGTACCTACGTGTTAAGTGATGTGAAATATACGCTACGTTATTCTACGTTCATCCTAAAAAAGCAAGCGCCTTCGCCGCTCCAAATAATTTTAATTAATCGTGGAAACAAAGTAGCTCTCCGGAAGCGTTTGAATAAAAGAATAATAATATCCTAGCGGGAATAGGGATGTGGTACAAGTTTGAGCAGATAGCGGGTGAGACAAGTGAATTTATTTTTGTAAATAGGCTACAAGGCAGCACTTTTACATGACAATTTTTTAAGCGAACGATGAGGTCGATATTTTCTTACTGACTACTCTGAGAAGAAATGCCGAAACAAACTCAGAGCTCTTTATAAGATTATGTGTAGTGTTCGTAATATTGTAATGAGAAATTGTTAGTTTATTTGTGTTGGGTATTTTTGTGTTTGATGCGTTCGTTTCCTTGTATCCAATGTGTTTGACCGACTTTTTTGTCCGACCGCGGCAGTTTATTGTTATAAATTAAAGAATACACTTAACTCTGTAATAAAATAACAAAACAATTTTTTTCAACGTCCTTAGTAAAACTTCTATTGTCGCCCACAACTCATAACTTCCACCATAATTGTTACTTGTGTCAGTGAGGGATGGCCACCACAGATCGTGTACTACAGCTGTCCTCCCCTACGTCTCACCTTAATTAAACGAAGCCAATTATACTTTAACTGCAAAACTCAACCTTATTGCTTCGATAACAGAGGTGCTTTTATAGATGACCAGTAAAGTAGAAGTGTAAATTTTGAGTAAAAGGTGACCTTGTAGTTCTTAAAAGAAAATCGGAATTGGAAAATCATCGAATGACTGCTCCCGCCTGGGTGAGGCGGGAAAGAGTGTCAGACTCTTACTGACTAAAAACCACCCCGTTCCTACTCCTGCACTTCGAGCCGGAGCCCCGGTAACCCGTTAGGTTCTCCGCGACTCCGTTGTAGTACTAAATTGTAGATTGTGTACAGAAGGCCTGTAGTGGACTGTCATACGTTGTTGATCGATGATAAGAGGTTAATCTCATCGGTTTAGATTTCAACCTTCCTTCAAGGTTAATTTAAATTGCGGGTTACTTACGTGATTATACTGAGAAAAGCTCTACTAGTTTCGAACCACAAAGGGGTTCTTCCTCAAGAACAGTGGGTGCGGTCGCTCAGCTCACTGTGCGGTGTTGCTACTTGCGCTATGAGCGCCCTCTACCGGACACCAGGAGCGTTACAGTTACAGTCTAATTTGCTACAACCTTTTACTTGGTCTACACACTCCTTACATGCAGTAATGAATAGAGGTATTTTTCTTAGAAATATAAGAAAATTGCAAGCGTTTAACCTGCGTTGTCTTTTAATTAGGATCGTACAGGGTTGCCTACTTACAGGTTTTATATGCAGTAAAACAAACTGTTTGCAGGAAATAGGAATGCTTCTATTAAAGAAAATTATTATGTGCATGGTAGCTTTTAGTTATCACCACATAGTATACCTAAAACAAGTTCGCTATCCGCCGTCTGTCTGTTCCTATGTATGCTTAGATCTTTAAAACTACGCAAGGGATATTGATGCGGATTTTTTACATACAAATTCACATACACATGATACCCGGAACAACAATCAATGGATCACACAAAGAGTTGTTCCGTGCGGGAATCGAACCGGCGACACGTTGCGCGGCAGCCGGTTGCCCAACCACCTTCGTCTGACAGTGTAAGGCAATAGACTCGTCCTTTATTATTTTAGTAACAAATTACGTGATATGTATGTGATTGGATACAAGTCCAAGATTCACGATCTTCGGTGCAAACTTATAAAAACAAATTGTATTGCGTAAAAAAATTACGTCACAATCATTAGGATGTAAGCGTTACCCTACCCCATTACGGTATTCCTATTCCCACTACGCTACGCCCCTTTTAAAATTTAAAGTATCTTCTGTATAGCCATTTTTTAAATATTAAATGCTACATAAAACAACTAAAAGTGTATTTTCGTTAAAAGGTTTCTCTGAAATATTATTATTTTTGATTGCTATCGATAAAGTAACGTGGAAATTAATTAATGGTGATACAGAGTTCGAAACATTTAGTGCTAGATTCATTCTGGCTTTGTTCGTCTAAAATAATATAACATTTTCCTAGTGAACCTATTTTTATCCAAATTTAAATAAAAATATTAAAATTGCGTTACCCGTATATTTAAATTACACATGAAGCGCAAAGGAACTATAGACTCTGACAGGCTGCACGATGATAATGATGACTGTAATAGTAATATTGTTTATAATCTACTAGCGACCTGCCCCGGCTTCGCACGGGTGCAATATGCATGTATTATACATATAAACCTACCTTAAGGATCACTCTATCTATTAAAAAAAGCAGCATCAAAATCCGTTGCGTAATTTTAAAGATCTAAGCATACATAAGGACAGACTGGATAGCGACTTTGTTTTATACTATGTAGTGATAAATACTTAAATACTTTATTCTCAACTTATTTCTTTTACTTCGTTTAGTCAAATCAATCATATTTTGAACATTACTAAACCAAATACAAGTAGGGTAAGTTAATAATAAGCGCTTAATCGTCCACCTGCGGCCATTTTGAAAATTTGTCTGCGTATTTAATGCTCCTTGACAACTTGGACACTGTAAGCCGTAACCTACAATAATTTGCTAAATATCTCGCTCCTTTTAAGTAGAACAATGGAATATATTTTTTGTAAACTCACAGTTTTTATAAACATCAACAGCCTATAAGTGCCACTGCTGACCTCTTCTCACACGACGAAGCTTTGAGCATTAATCACCACGCTTGCTCAATGCGGGTTGACGATTTCAAACTTATAATTAGAAATTATAAGCTTAGGTTTCCTCGCGATGTTTTACTTCACCGTTTGTCAGTGATGTCTCTATTATTTTAGAAAGCACATATAACTCGGAAAAAGTCGCATTGGTACTTGCTGTTGGTAGGTTTCAAACCCAGACCATCATGCATGAGAAGCGGGCGTCTTAAACCTTCAGGTCACCACGACACTTATAAAAACGTAAAAAAAATAATAAATATGTATATATATCACAACAACTACTGTGAAACATTCATAATAATACGTTTTTACCCTGTTCTTAAGGGCTTGAAATCTAAATTAAAGATCAAAATAAAATATTTTAAAAGATGTTGATCCCTTATGACAATAAATTATACAAAGTCACACAAAAACTTAATATAATGAACATTATTTTGGTAACGTTGCACAAATCGTTAGAAACATTCAGCTTGAGGTACCAGGGTAACAGAATCGGTCGGGAGATAGTCAAGAAATTGGTCGTTCGTTTCACAAATTAACTTGATAGAGACGTACTCGGAAATACTGGAAATGGATAGCAGCTCGGCTCAACACTTGCCCAAGTTAAATGAACTAGAGAGCCATGATTCTGATCAATTTGAGAATTGAGAGTATTGGTTTTTGATTACAATATGACGTTTAACCTGATTGGATCATAAGATTATTTAAAAAATTATCTGAACACATACTACCTACCTTTTTAATCGAGTGATACTACTGCCAAGTCCCCTTACTTCGGGGTTAGATTTTTAGGTCAACCAAAATATTATTAGGTCTTTTTCAGTTTGTTTTTCTAAAATTTCTCAGTGAATTTGAATTTGAAAAGAACTGAATGAAGAACCGTTTATAATGTACCAAGTACGTAATAGAAGGTTCGTGACATGATGAAAAGTTGCGGTTGCATTGTACTTTGCGGATAAAAAGGCTGGATGTTTTATTTCTTTTATGTTATGTCACTATTACTAACTGTTAAACACTACTGGGAAAATATTTAGTTTTTATTCCGCTGAAGAAATGAATTTGCAGCATGCAATATGCAGAACCGCCCTTCCGCCCATGCAGCAACGCTCATGCAGCAGGGACCCGACACGCAACAAACTACTCGAACGACTCTCGACATATGTTTCACTCCTCCCCGGAGTATCCTCGGGAGTTGTTGACTCGGCGGCTCCCACGGCCCGAATTCTAAATTATCAATTTCGAAATTCTATTCTACACATAACGCATTTTATCCCCGATTGTGAGGCAGAGGTTCACATTACAGCACTTAATGCCACTGTACAATGTAATACACACTTTTCACTATTTATGTTACGAGTCACATGTAATAGGGGGTGAGCCTATTGCTATATACCGGGCATAATTCCAGACTTCATACTACTAGTGAATTTTTTTAAAACCGAATAATACTTTGCCCCATCAGGGAATCGAAGCTGACACCCCTTGCCCAACAGTCGCACATGCAACCACTCTGCCATCGAGGCAGTCTATTCTATATATTATGTTACTATAATTACTTTACAATCCACTCATTATTTTGAAGCTTATAAATACCTAGCTATAAATAGAAAAAGGATATGCCAAAGTACTTTACTTATCCCACCTTTTTCTAAAAGGTGGAAAATTTAATCTGATCCTCAAGGACAAAATGGCCTTCCTTAGTACCTTTAAATAAAAACATCAACATTATTATATCGTTGATGTTTTTATTCGAAAGTGCTTATTAAGATATAAATAACTCTCTTTACACAGTTTGTTCGTCGAACAACTTATGTACATAATATTTAACACTAGCGACCCGCCCCGGCTTCGCACGGGTGCAATATGCATGTATTATACATAAAAACCTTCCTCTTGAGTCACTCTATCTATTAAAAAAACCGCATCAGAATCCGTTGCGTAGTTTCAAAGATTTAAGCATACAAAGGGACATAGGGATAGAGAAAGCGACTTTGTTTTATACTATGTAGTGAAGTCACCAAAACATGATGTGATGTCCGTACACTGACTAAATCACCGTCAGCCAGCACCAAATAGCTTCGAAAATCCCCCACATTAACCTCTTGCTACACAAATTAACAAAAACCATTCCTAACAAACATTTTGCAAGCTAATTCTCACACTGACTACCTACTAAAGTTCAACAGAGTGAATCAGGGTAATGACATCGTATGCGTTGACTTCGCAATGTAAGTGAGGTATTGCTCGTCCCGACCCGAATCATTACTTCTGCCACCGATTAGAGCCTGCAATGTAAAGGTAATTGACTGTAATTGCCGCTAAGGATCGTTGAAGGGTTTTGGTTGTTTGTAAATAGGTGACTTTTGGCTTACAGTAAGACTAATAAATAAGTATTTGTATGTCTATTTTGATGATGAAATGTGATGTCATATATAATCTATAGCTTTTTATTGTGCCTTGATCTTCATTAGCACACAGCAGTGGCAAAATAAAACATCTTATGACAATTTAAACTCATGTATTTATCATTTATTAATATAAAATAATTTACAACTTAATCAACTAAAAATCGCGGGATACTCAGGTGAATATACTGTGAAAAGCTCTACGAGCTACAAAGGGCCTCTTCCTCATGAGCAGCTTATGCGGTCGCGGGGATGTCGCGCAGCCTACCCTAACCCGCGTTTTTTAGTTTATGTCTCACGATAATTATTATAAAAATATACGACCTTTTTGTATGAAAATATTCATAAATTGAATTTGACGTTTAGTTTCCCGCCTTCTTAGAACTGTCAACTAACTAACCATAGAGTTTCAAAGCCAAACACGTACGCCATCTATGTGAACGCACCTCACTCCCGGAATGAGCCGCCATAATACTTAATGGTAATGAGTGAACGTTGTTAGTGACGCTCATTGGTTGTCTGAAGTAGTGCAATTATTTCCCACGTGACTCCCTCTCACCGCTTACTAATTATGGACCGGTAATGCAGGAGTGACGGGTTCATGACGTCATTAAGGTAGCGTCGAAGAGATGTTTTAGGTTAAGTACAATCGCGGTTTGTCCTTGTGACCAGGATAAACACTTTTATGTGTATCTATTTGGCTTTTTATCAATTTGATTTTCATTTTAATCGATTGTATATAACTATAATTTTATTGTACTCGTTGGAACTGTCGACTTTTTTAATCGTCCTGAAAAGACGTTCTTGTCTTCACTTACACATAATTAAAGTTAATTGTTTTAGACATAAAAAAAAACTAAAGATAATATGTATTCATTAATAGTATAGTATTTATATAGATTAATAGTACAAGTAACTTTATTGTATAATATAAGAGCGCCACTATCGCCAACAAACTGTTATACAGTTTGGCGATTTTTGATGTATAAGTAAATTTATGTATAATTTTTGTGAATATGTTAAATAAAACTATAATAAACTTATTCTTGTTCTTCTCATTGTTCGCAGTGAGACGTGTAGCCCCGCAGTTCTCGATCCCGCCACCGCCAAAGTCAGAGGTGATGCTGGGAGGAAACCTGACCCTGAAGTGCGTTGCCTTCGGATCACCCATGCCCACTGTTAAATGGAGAAAAGGTAAAACTATACTTACTTACGAAAAGCAAGCCATTAAATTGATGTGAATAGCAGGGAATTCTTAATCGAAAACTAAAATTGGCATGTTTATGTTAACTAATTGAAATTTATGACAGGTTTGACGAAATGGTTGACGCCGGAGGATAACCCGCCACTTGGTCTGAACACCCTCAAGTTGGAAGACATCAGGGAATCTGCGAACTACACGTGTGAGGCTGCTAGTGTACTTGGTGTTATTGAAGCTGTGGCTGAGGTCAAGGTGCAATGTAAGTAGACCATCTTTTATATGATTGCCGCATTTTATACGCAAGATTGTTTCCTCTCACTGATTCGTTGGCCGAGTGGTCACAAGTACGACAGCCGGGCAAGGGGTTTCGGGTTCGATTCCCCGGTCGGGCAAAGTATTACTGGTTTTTTTTAATATTTTCAGTAGTAGCACGGAGTCTGGAATTGTGCCCGTTATATGGCAAAAGGCTCACCCCCTATTACATGGGACTCATAACATAAATAGTAAAAGTGGGTGTTCAATGGTATAATGTGCACCTCTGCCTATTCCGTCGGGGATAAAAGGCGTGATGTTATATTGTTATGATTGTTTCCGTCGATGCATCTTATCGACAGTTTTAAAGACTCTTCACGACCTGACGAACACTAAACGCACCGAACAACGTAATCCTTCACAAAATTAAATTGAGAAAACGTTGCTTCGAGTTACAATAATTAATCATTAATCAAGCTGACATTCGTTTGTCTCCCGGGCCTCGCGCAACTTTCCAACCCTTTCAATTATGAATTATAACACTAATTCATAATGGATGTCTTCTCGCCTTGCCGCAATTTATCAAATTGATTTTCGTAAATCCCTCTTTCCACCTCGCCGAAGTTATTACCATAAATTTGCAACAGTTATCCCAAGAAATTATGAGTGTAATTTGATTCAGTCAGTCATCTACTCGACTCGTAGTCGCGGGTAATTGCTCGGATTAATTAGAGTATACTAGGAACTGACGTGCTTGTGTCGACTTCTCATTTTCAGTTACAGAAATGTTAAATGGGAAATCGTTTGGTCGGTGATTGGAATATCGGATGCCGTTTTCAATTATTTGAAAAGCAGTAAAAAGTCTATCATTTCGTTGATTTTAACAGAGAATCAGAGATTTTAAAGAAAATATTAAAAAAGATTATAAAAATCTAGCTACTTCCGCGCGGTTTCACACGCTCTGTTCAGCTCCTATTGGTCGTAGCGTGATGTTTCTCACTATCCAACACAAAAAGAAGTATTCAAATCAGACGTGTAGTTCCGGAGATTAGCGCGTTCAAACAAACAAACAAACTCTTCCGCTTTATATATAATAGTATAGGATTAAACCTCTAAATGAGAACATCCTATATTTTTACACATACAGGTGTATGTATGTATGTTCGCGATTACTCGAGATTGGCTAAACCGATTGACCGACATAACCTAAATGCTATTTTCAGAAAAGTGTTTATGACTCTTAGCTTAGGATCAGGTTTTACTAGGTACATTAATGAACAGACTACAAAACAGAGGGGGTTGAAGTCGTTTTTTTTAAACGTAGTTTATGAAAGAATTATTGCAAATATCAAAGCATGGTTTGAAATAAACGTAAACAGTCATGTGATATTTGCATACACTTTTTAATTAGCTCCAAATCAATAAAAAGTTTTCATTATAGTAAACATACGGGTATTAATCCTATAAATGTACGGTAAAGAGAAATTCGAAACGTTAGTAAATATTGGCTACAGTAAACTATTATTATACCTGGCTCACGCTACTAATTAAAATTTCCAGGAAATGTAAAATGCAGGTAAATATATACAAAATCTATATATACTACCCATAAACATGACACGCGCATGAATAGACAAACAAAAACAATTATGCCTATTTAAATGACTGGACATCAGGACGTTTGGTGTGTTTAAAATAAAAATCTATTTGCAACGATGTACGTCTTTCTGTTGTAAATAAATAATAACTGTACTCTATTATTATTATCATAGTTTCACTACAGAGAATTACAAAATTAAAATACTTAACGATTTTGTTACTTACTCTTAGGGGGGTAGGCAGAGTTGCACATTACGGCACTTAATGCCACAATGTAACACTCACTTTCCACTATCTATGTTATGAGTCCCATGTAATAGGGGATGAGCCTATTGCCATATACCGGGCACAATTCCAGACTTCGTGCTACTATTGCGATTTTTTTAAACACTATTATACCATCCGGCTGTCGCACTTGCGATTGCGACTACTCGGCCAACGAGGCAGTTAGGCAGCAAAAGAAATACTTAGCACAAAATTAACATCATAATTGTAAATCAGTCCTAATGAAGATATTTTAACGTAAAACGATGAGCATTATAATTAATACTAATGAATGTCCAGTTCGTGTATCTCCAGCTTTATCGCATAACACGTCTAAATGAAAGCCATAGAGTTAGTGGTACACGCGTACATTTTGCCGATTGTACTTACCGCAAACGTTAATGTTTTAGCGTATTATCTAAAGCGAAACAATTAAACGTCGATTAATTCGTATCCAATATTAATGTGACAATTATACTTTATGCAAGTTTAATCGTTATTGTTATGATTGTTTGGGAGTCCTGAGCTTTGGATACATTTATCAACTAACGCTTGGTCTTATGTCAGTAGATAGATCGTCACCTGCAGCTGTATCTAAATGCCATTTAGCGCTTGTCTACATGTAGAATAGAAAACCAAATTATATGAGATTGACGTAAATTTTGACACTTGTCAGTGTCATCCCCATACATTTAGTTTTCTACTCTCTCTGTAGACAAGCGCTAAAGTGGCGTTTGGATAAAAACACTGATTATAGAAAATTTAGACCTCAACTATTATTTTTAATAAAGTTTCAATGTGTTGCAATACGCTCACCCCATATCACTCGTCATTAATGTTATATTTAAATTATGTTCTAATAACGTCCCTATTACATGGGACTCATAACATAAATCGGTTGGTGCGGTGGCTGGCCAACCGGCTGCCGAACACTTCGTGTGATCCATAAATTGTTGTTTCGGGTCTGGGTGTCATTGTGTATGTGAACTTGTATGTTTGTAAACGCACCCACGACACAGGAGAAAATGCTAATGTGGGGCAATGTTTGAAAAAAATAATAAAAAAAAATTGTGAAAAGTGGGTGTTAGATTGTACAGTGGTATAATGTGCACCTCTGCCTACCCCTTCGAGGATAAAAGGCGTGATGTTATGTTATGTTATGTTCTAATAATGTTTCTTTTACCAGCGCTACCCGGGCCTCCGACAGAAGTGCGTCCCTCCGAGATCACAGCTACGACAGTCCGGCTCACGTGGACCTACAGCGGGCCGGAGGAACCACAGTACTACGTCATTCAATATAAACCGAAATACGCTAACCAGGTGAGACGTCAAATTTAAATGACAGATTGTTTTTAATTTCATTGTAGAACATACTTTTTTAAAAGACATTGTAGAACATACTTTTTTAAAAGACATTGTAGAACATACTTTTTTAAAAAGAGTAACGAATGGAGTTTCTTGCTCGTTCTTCTCCATTCGAATCTACTTCTTGGAATGAGCACCTAGCTTCACTTAGTTTCACTGACGGACTGACTAACAGACTATTATTTATTTTGTATTTGTTGACGTTTCAAAAGTACCAAACTATGGTTTAATTGAAATAAATGCTTTGACTTTGACTTTTCTATATTGGTTTATTCCACCCGACACTGGCAGTATAGTCGACAACATCGTATTGGAGACTCGGTTGCCAAAGAAGAAAAAAAATAAAACAAAGTTTACGGCCTGCCTGATGGTAAGCGGACGCGAAAGGACACTCTTGCAACATCAAACAAGCTATCTACAAAACTGTTTAATTACTCTATCGATACTGGACAAAAGAGATCTCTAATAGAAGCAATCAAACAGTGAGTTGGGAATCAAGATCCCTAAGTTACCAGACGAAATGAAACTTAAATCACCACTTCTCTGGTAATCAGGGACCAAATAGGTTGATGTCAATAACTAGATATTCTGCCGTTTTACCAAACCATAGCTATTTTAACTCCCTGCATAATTATTTATCTGACTACCTCGTCGACGTCTCGGGTTCGATTCCCGGGTCGCACAAAGTATTACTGGGTTTTAAAAAAATCTCAGTTGTACCACGGAGTCTGGAATTGTCATATACTGGCTATTGCCATATACCGGGCCAATAGCCATACCTCCTATTACATGGGACTCATAACATAAATAGTAGAAAGTGGGTGTCACAGTACAGTGGCATTAATGGCCGTAATGTGCACCTGTGCCTACCTCTTCGGGGATATTATGTTATTTTATAATTACTTATCTTCCTAAAACAGGCATTCAGCGAGATCTCAGGGGTCATCACTCAGTATTACTCAGTAACGAATCTGTCGCCATACACGGAATATGAAATGTACGTGATTGCCGTCAACAACATCGGTAGAGGTCCACCTTCAGCGCCGGCCGTCATCACCACCGGAGAAACTGGTATGTACCAGTTTAAACTGACTTATTTGAGTTACCAACAGATCAGCCTACTAGATCTTAATAGATTCTCGTCTTTATCGTTTGTGATAAAGTCGACAGTCTGTCGATTTGCGTTTCTATGTAACCTCTTCGGCCTTTAGAAACGTTTTGAGTAATTTTTAGTGTGCAACTAATATTTAGGTAGTTGGTGGAATAGAGTGAAATGAAACTAAAAAATAACGACTTAAAAAAGTAGAATTATGTAGCATTTTTAATTGTAGATTATGACTAATCTACTTACAATATTAACTTCGCTAAAGAAAGAGGCAATCAAAAAAGAAAACAAATGGTTCCTATAATGGTCACTGAGTGTAATGTTACACAAGAAAGTCAGAACTCTTCTGATAAAATGAACACCATCAATAACATGTTCTATCGGGCCCCTCCCCTAAAGATCATCATCTCTTCTACAGTTACTTATGATGAACGAGATTTATAAATCACCTTAACAACTCCATCTTCTTTAATAATCCCAATTTACAATAGACGATGAAAAATTATCATTTCTACGCATTTACCCATACGCTTGTTATAATTTCATTTACTCTCGTCTCGCTTTCAATTTTGTCAAGTCTAATATTATATTTTTACTTGCTTTTAAATTGGGTACCTAAATAGATTTCTGTTTTTAAGTTTCTTGCGCTCAGTTTTTTAAGGTATTTTCTTTGATCGTCTTTTCATGCCTACGCGTATAAACGACGTACGACATTCGCCGATGCTTCATGTAAGTTCGCTTCTGAATTATCATAGTCTTTTATTTTATTTGCACATTTGATTTTGTTCTTAGTATGTAGATGTAGAGCGTAATGTTTTTCGTTCGTTTAATCATGCACCATTTCGTTTTTATCGATGTTAGGATCAGACAAGCGGTCAGTTTATGTCACATGTTTTAATCTTACTCTGCGGCACTCTGTGTGATGTGTGTTCCCGTTTACAGATCTTCGATTTACTAATTATATTATTTGTTTCCTTGCTCTCTTCCAGTGGATTCCTTGTATGGAGGTGCCAGTAAGTATACTACTATGAATTTTCGTAAGTCATTACCTAAAGGCGTTGTATGTGGGTCTACATCTATAACTCCTAAAATCTGGGCGTTGACAGCATGACATTAAGGTGGTCTAGTGATGTAATGTCTAGTAATGTTTAATCATCGACTGGGTGCTAATATATCGCTTGCACAAAAGGTTAATCCGTTAATAATTTGCATGTTTACTGTATTTGTTCGCGATATGTTACAAAATTGGTGTGACTGCTCGTTCACCTCAATTACATATTAAATATTTACCGTACAATTACCCTGTGGTGGAATTTCATTTCTTTATCCTCGTCCCGAACGTTTCTCGCTTCGTAAATGTTAAACCATCATATCTAATTTCCCCAACGAAATATATTAAATTTGAGTCATGAAACCTCGCCCACGTCCCCATAGCGCGATGTCAAAAAACAGACAAAATAAAAACTTGGATGAATTAGTAATGAAAACGTTGGTATATAGAATTACCAACAGATCTTTTGATATTCTTTACATTTCTAATAAAGGAAAAGTTTGGGCTGACGTCGACGACCCGGATCCTGGACCCAAACAAGATTATGGCGTTTTAATATTGCACAGTCCCTAAACTTTTATTGTTTTGCCCTTCGCGAGTATTATAAACAGAAAAGAGATTTTTTCATTGAGTGACGCCCCGTTTTTCGTGTTAGACGCTGCGATTACAAATCCTATTAAGACGGGCATTGTGCCCCCGACGGTTATTGTCCTATTATTTTTATTTTCATTTTGTTCATAATTGAGATGAGTCGAGACGCTTTTTAATTTAACATTGGGATGTTTACGTGTTATTGCGTCTGACATAATGGCGGTAGGGTGTTTGATAGTATTTGTACTAAACAACTGAAGGAGTCAGACAGGCATTATGTTGAACGGTTCATGTAACAAGAATGGCATCCTCTTCCTCTATAATTGTATTAACGTCTGTTAAAAGAGGTTGTAGCTTTATATTCGTACTCAAATCCTTTTATACTGTATTTAATTTCTCTTATTTTTAGTTGATTTTGAATATAAAAATTCTAAAAAAAAAGTTATATTGCATTATTTATTCCTGTCAATAACATTTCAATATCAATAAGATTTTGAAATGAAAACTTTTTGGTGAAAAATATATTCTATCTTTTTATTAGATTTGAAGAATATTACATACACGTCTGAAACAACTCTTACTGCTTTAATATTAAACTGCTACGAGAATTAAGTTACCTGAGTTCGTATAAATAAATAATTGAACGAATTCGGCTCGCTCTCATTTTTAAATAATAAAACGTTCTCAATGTTTTTCTGATTAGATTTGCATTTTGATAGACAGTAAGCTGTAAGTGATATTCGAAAATGGAAAACAGTCAGCATCAATTCCATTTTTATTTCAAAAACACGCATGCGAAAGTGGTTAACAAAAATTCAATAATCGACTAATGTGGGTTGAAAAGTTACTAAATGTCGCATCACTGATTTGATTTTTTTTCATAGAACCGGGTTCAGCGCCAAGGAATGTGCAAGTTCGGCCTCTAAGTTCTAGCACAATGGTGATACAATGGGACGAACCAGAGACGCCGAACGGACAAGTTACGGTAACGGAATAACTAATTCTAAATGTAGTTTCTGCCCAAATTAGATTGCAAGATTTGATCGCCTTATCCCGAAGTTTGCTGGGTATAAGTGCCTGGATCTTGTGGATTCGGCTTTGATGAAAGCGCAAGTGTTTAAGAAGTACTAGAGAAGTGATATCAGAGACGGTTGAATGCTCAAACGCAATTTAATTTTATGTGATTGTTATTTGTTTGAGATTTTGGTACGGAAAGGGTGTAGGTACCAAATTTTATCGTAGATAGCTTGGTGAATACAATCTTATAATAATTTTCTTTACTATTCTTTATTTTTTTAATCATTAACATCAATAGCCTATACATATAAGTGCCCACTGCAGTCCAAGGTCTCTTCTCACACGGAGAAGGTTTGATTTGGGACTTACGCTTGCTTAATGTGGATTGGCAATTTCTAACTTATAATTAGATATTATAAAGTCAAAAAAGTGAGGCATTTTTTTACTAATTTTTATAAAATACCTTATCACTTTATACCAATGGGAGTAGTTTCTGATATCTACCTCTATACTAGATTAACGTTTGGCTTTGTCTAATTATCTTTGTACAGTTTTAAACAATTAATTATCACTCTACAGGGCTACAAAATTTACTACACCACGGATCCTTCTCAACCAATGCAGTCTTGGCACTCGCAAATGGTAAGTGATAATACTTTAGAAGTTTAATTTAACTAACCCGACTATTTAAAACTTTGTTTTTGAGGGGGGGGGGGGGAATCATCCCATGACTTGAGATGAGAATGAGTGTTCTGACACTAGACTATAAGAGTCTGCTCTTATTGACTAAAAACCACCCCGTTCCTACTCCTGCTCTTCGAGCCGGAGCCCCGGCAATCCGTTAGGCTTTCCGCGGCATTGAAACCTATCCTTAGATTACAAAATGCACAGCGCTTGCTATTAAATTAAAAATCGAATACATTATAAAAAAAACGTTATTTTCAAATTTATAAGGTAACACTTCAATTTTTTTTTCTATTTTTTACAACAATATTTATCAACTGCCTGCAAATATTATAGGTTAAATTCTGAATAGTCACACAGTCGATTCACGATCAAATTTATTCTTCAGTTTAGTAACCTTCCTTGTGCGTACTACTAAGGAGTGGAATTCTTTGCCAGATTCTGTAATTCCTGAAGGGTATAATAACCTGGGTGTATTCAAGGCCCGAGTGAATAGGTTGCTTATGAGACGACGTGCTCCATCGTAGACCGCATCATCGCTTACCACCAGGCAAGACAGGTCGAACGTCGGCCCATCAAATAAAAATTGACTGCACGGTTGGTGCGGTGGCTGGGCAACCGGCTGCCGTGCAACTTGTCGCGGGTTCGATTCCCGCACGGGACAACACTTTGTGTGTTCCACAAATTGTTGTTTCGGGTCTGGGTGTCATTGTGTATGTGAACTTGTATGTTTGTACAACCGCACCCACGACACAGGAGAAAATCCTTGTGTGGGGCAACGTAATGCCTTCATAACCATCACTAACACATCCCGTCCCTTACAGATGGACAACAGTCACCTGACCACTATCAGTGAGTTGACACCTCACACTGTGTACACAATACGAGTGCAGGCCTTCACGTCCGTGGGCCCTGGACCCATGTCCGCGCCCGTGCAAGTCAAGACACAGCAAGGTGAGATAATAACCTACACTGAAATTATAAATCGGAAAGTGAGTTTGCTTGTTTGTTCCGCTTTCACGCCGTAACTACTAAACCGATTGCATTGAAATTTTGCAGACGTAAAGTTAGAAGTCTGGATTAAATAATAGGGTACTTATTATAGAGTGTATTGGTATAGATGGCGCGGTATGTCATCTAAAACCAGTCAACGAATTACTTACTTATTGGAAGAATCTAAATAGCGCGATATAACCGAATTCCACGCGAGCGGAAAGCTATTTGTTTGTTTGCCTATCTTAAACGGCAGAACGGAGGTACTAATTAACCTGATTTTTTAACTAAAGGTAGTTGAAGGGATGGATAGTCACATAGGCTACTTTTTATCCTTTTGTGACGCGAGCGAAGCCGCTAGTATAATATAATTTTGCCGTTAGCTGAATAGCAGTAGGTTACATCTGTAAAATTGATAACCTCAATCTAAATATTCTGGATTCCTCAATCTAGGATTTCGACTGAGAGTGAGGTGAGGAACATTTTGGGTCGCCTTAATTTCTAGAGCGGCTGATAAATACGTCAGTCCGCCTTTTGGACTATATTTCCAAAAATTAGGTAATTAGAATGTACCGACTGCCGCGCAACGTGTCGCGGTTTCGATTCCCGCACGGAGCAACTCTTTGTGTGATCCACAAATTGTTGTTACGGGTTTGGGTGTCATGTGTATGTAAACTGGTCTGTTTGTAAACGCACCCACGACACAGGAGAAAATCCTAATGTGGGACAACGTGTTATTAAATAAAAGAAACGAAAAAAGAAGAAAAGCAGACAGCCGCTATCACAAATTCCCGCAGTACCTAAGGAAACCTCCACACCAAAACAAAACACTACCATTAATACGTGAACAGTAAAATTGACATTAACCAATTTCATCAACAGGAGTCCCATCGCAACCTTCGAACTTAGTGGCCGTGGAAGCAGGAGAAACCTCGGTGACTCTCTCGTGGAGGAAGACCAGCTCATGCTGGAGACAACATCGTGTCTTACGAGCTGTACTGGAACGACACTTATGCCAAGGAACACATAGGAAGTAAGTTGTGGTAGAAGTTTTGGGTAAATGTAAGAAATAGGTTTAGATTAAAAAAAAAAAATTCATTCTTCAGTTTTAAGACGTTTTTTTTATTTTCTATTGAAATGATCTTGTACTATGATTTTAAAGATCGAATAACTTTAGAGCGAAACTAATTCAAAAGTTTCGTAAGTCCTTCTTGAAGTTTTCTGTATAGACCAAATTATTATTAACAAGTTTCGATTTTACATAAAATAGCGGAAATTAAGTGATATTTGGTCAGCTTCTCAACTAAGGACATCAACTAACATACAACTCCTCTCAGGCGGATACCAATAACAGAAACGTATACTCTGAACGGCCTGTACCCCAACACGCTGTACTACATCTGGTTGGCGGCGCGGTCGCAGCGCGGGGAGGGCGCCACCACGCCACCCATCGCAGTGCGGACCAAGCAATATGGTATGTCACCACCACGCACACTTGGAGTGACGTCTCGTGGAGAGTGAGTGTAGATAGGGTGAGAGGGAACGAGCCATGTGTCCATAACTTTATATTTAACTGCTACAAATGCTACATGTATCGTTTAAATGTACGCTTTCAGCAACATAACGCTTCCCAAAACGATCCCTGGAAAACGCTTCCTTGTGTCCGTGTTCCAAAAGTTCTGAATATTTAGCTTTTTGTGCAAATTCACAATGTGGCTCCTTCCCAATCATCGCTTTGAAAATATGAGAGAGTGAACCTATTGTGGTTATTCCAGGTAACTCCTAATGTAATATTTCACATAAGAGCACCTGCCCGGCACGCTGCCAGTAATACAGCACAAGCACCAAGTTTTATATCACAATATGTGTTTTGTAATCGTAACTTTGTCGAAACGGTAAAGTGTACGCCGTAACTTGATTGCGCGGCTCAACGAACTGTCGTTCCGACCTGCTTCATTGAACGCGTACACGGTACCTTAGTAGTAGCTTTATGTTGTTCGTAGGACAGACTTTTAAATCCGAGGTTAACGCCTCGACTGACATTTTTTTATTCAAACGCTGACGACGCGGACGACATTTGTCAATCTTGGCTCACTGTCATTATATTCATTGGGCTCCATCAATCAGATTGTCTCGATCTGCCACGCATCTATCACCGAGATAAGAAGTAGTGTTCTCCGCGTCGTGAGCTGGAACATAATCATCACAGTTTTCTTCCAACAGGGGAAGTGTGACGGATGGGACGTAGAGATGTATGGGCGAGCGGATCCTACATTTACACCACACTAACAGATGTGCATGCTCGTTATGTTCACGACTGATGTCATTTTTATTATTTCATTTTATTTTGGGCACATTTTATTTTTATTTGAATCGCATTCAGTGATTGCGTCGGATAGGTCGGCTGTGTGTCGGGTATAACGCGACGCGCGGCCGAGGTCGCGCGTCCTTTGAGTTGCAGGTGGGCGGCTCGGTCCCGGTCCGGGGCCGGGGCCGTCCGTCTCAAGTCGAGCTTGTCTAGTGCCCGGCGCGCCCCCGATGAATGTGACGGCGGTGGCGGTGTCGCCCACCGCCGTGCGCGTGTCTTGGCAACCGCCGCCCGCCGAGCGAGCCAACGGCCGGATCGCTTACTACAAGCTGCTTTGCGTGGAATCTGGGAGGGGGGATTCAGAGGCGATGGTGGTGAAACTGAACCAGACGTCGTTCGTACTGGACGAACTGCGGCGCTGGACTGAGTACCGCATCTGGGTGCTGGCGGGCACCAGCGTGGGGGATGGGCCCGCCTCCTACCCCGTCACCGTCCGCACGCATGAAGACGGTACGTGTCACTGACCACATACACAATCACTAACCTATCGACTGTTCCTTGTCGGCTCAACTTTATGACTTGCTTCGCTCGCTTGAAAGCGAAACAATGTTCGAAGAAAAAACTTGAAAAATTAACTTTTTAATAATCCAAAGCGCGTTCATAAACATAGAATCATAAAATTGATGCCGAGCCAAAGAATTAATTGCTAATAATTGATGAATAATTTAATTATCTTTCAAATTAACAAAGTTCTTTGGCTATGTAATAACAGAGGAGTTTTCGAAGTTAATTTACTTTAACATTATTTTGTATTAGCTATGAATTTTTCATGCGTTACTTTACACTGGGTTACGAAAATCCTTTGTTACTACATCTGTTAATATTTCCCGAATAAGTTTAATTAATTATTAATGAAATTGATTTCTAATGATACATCTATATTTACTAACAAAACCATGGGATTCTACAGTTGGTATAAAGTGTTTTGTAAAATTATTCATATCAAAAAATGCTATGTAATATTTGATTGCATTGATACAGAAACTATAATAATATGAATATGAATGATTTTATAATGTAATTTAATTTAATACAGTGGAAATGGAACTGTGGGATTTAATGTGATGTGTATTGCACTCGAATGTTTCTGATATTTTGTTTGTCGGACACAGTTCCGTTTTGACTGTGATGTGTTCTGATATGTAAAGTGGTGGTAACATTGGTGGTGGGCTATTTGAAATGAATCATTAATACCATGACGGAATAGTTCATATTCACATTAGCAGACTCGATGCGCTACAATACTACAAATATACTAATGTCATTTTTTCTTTTGTTTCTTTTTTGTGAGCACATAGCAGGATTCTAAACAAGGAGGTTCAGTTCTCGTAACAAAAGTATTACTATGCTTGCCGATAATATTTACTTGTATATCTTTAATCATGTCACAGACGATCATTTGGTTTTCACTGTATTACAGTCGCTGTGCACAGCGGCATAGAGTTGACATTTCCACTCACTTGTCACATGTAATGATTTCTTTTGGTGACGCGTCACATGATTCGTCATCGTCTCGTTAAGATGGCACTCACTGAAATGCAAAGTTTATAATGCACCTGGTATAGTGTCGACGGCACCGTTATATTATTGATTTTGGCGCACAGTTGTTGAGTATTTAGCAATGGACACAATTTTGCATGCTTTCTTTACCGACACCGCACCGTTTTTCGTTCAATTAAGTTTTCACTGGGCACCAGATAGGTTTCATGATTTACTGCACGCAATTACTGTTGCAATACGTGTTGCGGATTGCGTGAGGTAAATACTGCACTTTTAGGATTCACTCAGCACCACTAGCGACGACACGAGGTGAGAGAGCGAGTGCGTCACACCACGACATGGCCACTGCACCGCCCAGCGCGCGACGCGCATTGCGCCGCGAGCGCTGCCAGCCACACAGCGGCTGCGGCGCCCGCGGCGCAGCGCTGGGCACGCAGCGAGCGCGCTGGGCGGGCAGTGCGCCATGCGGACCGCTCAACACGCACCACGGCCCGAGCGCCGCATTTGAATACCAATACCGTCCCCACACGACACGCGCGCATGCTACTGAACTACTCACAATTACTACTTCTTTACTCACTGTACTGTCCTGACTACTATCTACTATTAGCGGGAAGGCTGCGGGTCGAAGCCTCGTCCCGAGGATCCACCGTCTAAATTTCTACTTGTGCCTACCGATGCACCCGATTGGTTACCCTCGCGTCGGATCCCAGGGATAGGTCCGCGACACTCTTCGCCTGTACTCCCCGACTGCTCAGCTCGGTTACTAGACTACGCGCTACTTCTCTTCCTATCTCTATCTCTCTATCTATCTCACTTGCTCTTGTGCTACAACTTCTTTGCAGTAGCAATTTCACTCTCGCCTCTCTTCTTTCTTCTGTATACTCTATCAGACTTTCGTCGTGCATGCACACTAGATATTGTGACATAATACAAAATACTATTATGCCTAACGTTCGCTATTGCCGTAACAACGGACGGGCGGGGCTCTAAGAACGCTGCGTGATATACCAGACATCATCACTCCTGTTAAGTACAAGATCAGAATTTGTTTGACACAATCAGACGAGTTTTGAAGAGCACAGCCAATGGACACTCTGACACTGATACAAACATCACAGAGGATACACGAGGGTCGAGCCATCACACACACAGAAGGTACGAAGGCGCACATTGACAGAACTACACAATAGAAGCACACACACACATAGACTGGCGCCGTCGCGTTAATCAATACATGTGCGTGTGAGTGACTTCTCTGCACCGACGGACGACGAACAATATCTGGATGTTTGCGCGTTGCCTTTTTCTGTCGCCTAAAACAATTATAAACGTCGTTTAATATTTATGTAAGCTCCGCTGCACGGAAAAAACGTCCGTAGTGAGATGAAAACTTCATACATTTTCACTCTATTCATGAAATAAAAATTTCCATTCCCGTTTGCCCCGCGTTACGGACGGAAAAAGGCAATGCACGCGAACCTAGACCGGCGTCCCAAGCGGCTTAAACCGAATGCGCCTCCTAAAGAGCTCAAAATACACGAGGAAATAAAATAAGAGTGCCCCCCATTTCGCCGACAAGCGTTCTACTCGTAATCTCTCACTTAGTAGTTCCGTTCGCCCTGCAATGTTCGCACAATTTGTCTTAAATGTATTTGAATGCGTTTTTCTCTTTTTTCTCTCGTCACTGACTTTGTATGGGCCGCTGGTAACCCGTACAGCTATAAGGAGTGAGTACCAATTACTATAGTGCTTGTTTCGATGTGCGTTTGTGCTTGTGCCTAAAGCTTCAAGTAGATAATCTTCCTAGCTCCTTAATCTAACTACTTTGAAACAAACTGCAAGCGGTTACCTCTGAAAGCATGTCTTCGTAGACGACATTTTTGATGATTTCCGAAGACTTGGTGTGCATCTTTTTTCTGTGATTTAATTTTGAATTTATATCCCCAAGTCTTGACGCTCCGAAGCATGATCCCTTGCAGTGTGTGAATTAAGGATTTTAGTCATAGAAATGCTGCTTTGGAAACTTATAGATAAAATACTTACTAAATGTTGACTCTTTGTAAATGCTTGACGATTTTAGTTGTTCTATACGATGTGGATTGGAAGGTAATGGATTTTAATTGGTTATGGTGATGTGAAAGGGCGTAAATGATAATATGTCTCAGTGTGTGTTGGTATTCAAATGCCCGATCGAGATGCTGACTGGCGTGTGTAGACACTCGCCACGACCAAAAATGCTCTATCAGCATCAACGACGGCGATACCGACCGCACTCGTTAACAATACTACGTTCAATAACTGAATTTTGCAGCGCTTAACTGACAAGCCTTTGACGCCGAAGCTTAATTCCAATTAATAGACCCTTGAGAGTCGCTTTAGGTAGATTTTTTAGCACGCTCCCGTAGATGCTGATAGGGCAGTTTAGGTCGACTTGCCAACAGGTACGGCTCAGATATCTCACATATACCTTGTGTGCTCACAGTACCCGGAGAGCCCCAGGACGTGAAGGTCGTTGCCATCAACTCCACGTCAATCCATGTAACATGGAAGCCCCCACAGGAAAAAGAGAAAAACGGGATTATCCGAGGATACCACGTCCATGTGCAAGAAGTACGAGACGAGGTAAGTAGTAACTAGTAAATACACAAACTCTTATTTATTTCCTTTTTATTCAATTCAAATTTCGTTCGAAATATGAAATCAACATTTTATTTCTATAGGGCAAAGGACTTCTTAACGACCCAATGCGGTTCAACGTAATGGACGACACGACTCTCGAATTGAACGTATCGGGGCTCCAACCGGATACGCGGTACAACGTGCAAGTGGCTGCTCTGACGAGGAAGGGGGACGGTGACCGAAGTACGCCGGTGTCTGTGAAGACGCCTGGCGGTGTGCCAAACAGGCCTACCGTCAACCTGAAGTGAGTCGAAATTATTTATCGAATCATTTACGTTCTGACGACATTTTGAACAGCTGTAACGAACCGCTATTTCCTTTGCAGGGTTTTGGAAAGGGAGCCCGTCGTATCAATAGAACTGGAATGGAGCAAGCCATCTCAAACATACGGCGATTTACTCGGGTATAGGTTGAGATATGGTGTAAAAGATCAACCTCTGGAAGAAGTAAATTTCCCTGGTACTAAAATACATTCGTATAAAATAAATGATTTAGAAAGAGGCGTCCAGTACGAGTATAGAGTAGCAGGTAAAAACCACATCGGAATAGGTCAAGAGACAATCAAATATTGGCTCACACCTGAAGGTGCTCCAAAAGGGCCTCCGACGAATGTTACGTACCGCTTCCAAACACCCGACATCATTAGTATCACGTGGGAACCTCCAATCCGTGCTGACAGAAGCGGGCAGATAAAGAAATATGATGTTCAGTTTTTCAAGAGAGGAGATCAATCGTCAGTTGCTGAGAAAACGACAGAATTAACCAAAGCTGTATTTACTGGTTTGGAAGAAGATGCGCATTATGTGTTCAAAGTTAGAGCATACACTGATCAAGGGGCTGGCCCGTACAGTAAAGACATGACGGCTCACACTGAAAGGGACATCGGTAGAGCCCCTATGTCAGTTAAAGCCGTTGCACTTCAGAATCTAGTGTAGAAGTTTGGTGGGAAACATTCCGTTCTAGAAAGAAGATCATTGGTTACGTCATATTCTATACAATGACGCCAGTCGAGGATCTAGATGAATGGCAACAGAAAACCGTTCACGTTACACATTCTGCTGATTTGGATAATTTGGAAAAGTTCGCAGAATATGCTGTCGCTGTTGCTGCCAGAACGGCAGATGGTCTTGGAAGATTATCCGAAAAGGTTACTGTGAAGGTCAGACCAGAAGAAGTGCCTTTACACCTTCGGGCTCAAGATGTGTCCACTCATTCCATGACGTTGTCATGGTCGCCTCCGTTACGCTTAAACCCCGTTAGTTATAAGATTTCCTACAATGCGATTAAAGAATTTGTTGACTCTCTTGGTATGACGCAAACGCAAGAAATACCAAGAAGGGAAATCATTGTGAAACATGATAGAACATCGTATTCGATAAATGATCTGTCTCCGTTCACAACGTATAGTGTTAATGTAAGTGCCATACCTAATGACGATTCGTACCGACCGCCGACGAAGATCACCGTCACCACGCAGATGGCAGCACCGAAGCCGATGGTGAAGCCAGACTTCTATGGCGTCGTTGAAAATGAAATACTCGTCATTCTACCTCAAGCCTCTGAAGAATATGGACCCATATCGCATTATTATCTAGTTGTAGTGCCTGATGATAAAGCTCATAATCATAAGCATCCGGATCAGTTCCTAACAGACGATTTAATTAAAAATAATGTTCGAACAGATGATGAAAATGCACCGTACATTGCTGCCAAATTCTTACAACGAAATATTCTCTATACATTCCATCTCGGTAATGATGAAATGTATGAAGGCTTTTTGAACAGGAAATTGAATCCTAGTAAAAAGTATCGAGTATTCGTCCGTGCGGTTGTAGATACTCCACAAAAGCATTTATATACGTCCAGTCCATTTTCAGAATATTTGTCGCTAGATATGCGTGAAGCACCGCCTGGTGAAGAACCCAGTAGGCCGGATCCTAAAGACATACATGGGGACCCTGAAATAAGGATAGAAGAGAATAGGAAAGAAGCTGGCATGGTATGGGTTATCGGGCCAATCATTGCCGCGTTGATGCTCTCACTTTGTTTGGTAGTCTTGTTCATATTCAAGAGAAGACGCCAACCCTGCAAGGCTCCCGACCAGGCAGCGGTGACAAGGCCTTTAATGTCGGCAGATGTTGGATTCGGAGCACCATCCGATCCCGTTGAAATGAGGAGATTGAACTTCCAAACGCCGGCTATGATTTCCCATCCTCCTATTCCTATTTTAGAACTGTCGGAACATATCGAAAGACTTAAAACCAATGACAACCTGAAGTTCTCCCAAGAATATGAAAGTATTGAACCCGGCCAGCAGTTCACTTGGGACCATTCAAACATGGAAGTCAATAAACCCAAGAACCGTTACGCTAATGTCATAGCCTATGACCACAGCCGCGTAATCCTTCAGCCAATAGATGGAATACTCGGAAGTGATTACATCAACGCCAACTATTGCGATGGCTACCGGAAACACAACGCTTACGTAGCTACTCAAGGTCCTCTTCAAGAAACTCTGGCTGATTTCTGGAGGATGTGTTGGGAACTCCGCACTTCGACTATCGTCATGATGACTAAGCTAGAAGAGAGAACAAGAATCAAATGCGACCAGTACTGGCCCAGCAGGGGAACTGAGACTTATGGTATGATGACTGTTACTATCGCAGAGGTTCAGGAACTCGCTACCTATTGCATCCGAACCTTCCAAGTGGAACGGAATGGCAACAGCAGCGAGCGTCGTGAAATCAAACAATTACAGTTCACTGCTTGGCCAGACCATGGAGTTCCCGATCATCCTGCACCGTTCCTTCAATTCTTGCGACGAGTGCGGGCCCTAAACCCGCCAGATGCTGGTCCATTAGTCGTGCATTGCTCAGCTGGAGTTGGCCGCACGGGCTGCTTCATTGTTATCGATTCTATGTTGGAGAGAGCTCGCCATGAGCGCACTGTTGATATCTACGGCCATGTGACTTGTTTGCGAGCTCAACGCAACTACATGGTGCAGACGGAGGACCAATATATCTTCATACACGACGCTTTGCTAGAAGCTGTAATTTGCGGTGACACTGAGGTTCCGGCTCGCAATTTGCACGCACACATTCAAAAGCTGATGCGCGTGGATCCTATTGAGAATATTACTGGAATGGAATTGGAATTCAAGAAGTTGGCTAACATGAAAGCTGACTCCAGTCGATTTGTGTCCGCTAGTCTACCTTGCAATAAGCATAAGAACAGATTGGTGCACATCTTGCCGTATGAGTCGACCCGGGTGTGTCTGACTCCCCGTGATGGATCTGACTACATCAACGCGTCGTTTGTAGACGGGTATAGGTACCGAGCAGCTTATATCGCTACTCAGGGACCTTTGCCGGACACGACTGACGATTTCTGGAGAATGTTATGGGAACACAATTCCACAATCATTGTTATGTTAACTAAATTGAAGGAGATGGGCCGAGTAAGTATTGATCTATCTATATTTCTTATCGTCAATATTGAAAGTTTGTTTACAATTTTATGTATTTCTTAGGAAAAATGCCACCAATATTGGCCGTCGGACCGTTCGGTACGCTACCAATGTTTCGTCGTGGACCCGATCGCTGAGTATAACATGCCCCAGTACATCTTGAGGGAATTCAAGGTACGTATTCACAAACAAATTGAAATTCTTGAATATCTGATAAAACTTTATGGATCTAACTTTCAGTTTTCCAATACCTTGTTACTGAACTTTGAACATTGTGGACTTAGTGCTGGTGTCATTTGCTTTTCTTGTGAAAGTGTTTTTTTTTTAATAAAAATATCTTTTTTTCTTTCTCGTTTGTAGCGGTTGCAACCGTAACTTTGACATATTAATCAAGCAAGAGCTCTATGATTAAATTATAGGATCGAGTAAAGTCTTATTGAGATTTTTGTTTTCGAAATTGTTAAATAGCACGTAATCTAGAATCGTGCCTAGTGAACTATCGTATAATATGATAATGAACTATCGTGTAATATGAAATAATCTTTTGCAATTCTTGCCATTCTCCAATGAAAATAAAAGCCGTGATTATTTAAATATTATTATTTATTTATCCTTTACAACTTACGTATACAATATATTTCAGCAATATTACATTATATTTTAACGTGAAACAAAATCTAATAAATACATTTTATTGTAGGTTACGGACGCTCGCGATGGATCTTCGAGGACGGTCCGTCAATTCCAGTTCACTGATTGGCCAGAACAAGGAGTACCGAAGAGTGGAGAAGGCTTTATCGACTTCCTAGGACAAGTGCACAAGACTAAAGAACAATTCGGACAGGACGGTCCCATCACTGTACATTGCAGGTGAGAACAACTTTTGTTATCCTTCATCATCATCAACAGCCTGAAGACGTCCACTACTGGACAAAGGCCTCCCCCTTAGCCCTCCACGTCAAACGACAACTCGCCACCCGCATCCACCGGCTCCCCGCAACTCTGGCGATGTCGTCGGTCCACCTAGCGGGAGGCCTGCTCACGCTTCGTCTTCACTCAAGGACTTTCCTGGCCCATCTGCCGTCAGTCCTTCGAGCGACGTGGCCTGCCCATTGCCACTTTAGTCTGCAGATTTTGCGAGCTATGTCGGTACCTAACTCTTGTTCTTTGGCGAATTTCCATATTTCGGATTTTGTCGCGCAAAGAAACCCCGAGCATAGCTCTCTCCATCGCACGGTGAGCGACTTTGTTATCCTTAGAAGTAACTTAAAAAATATTATACTTGGATAAGAAATTACATTTTTAGGGTTTTAGATCTGTTTTGTAACTGACAACTATAGTAATGGAAATGATGTTAACCGCTTGAATGCCCGTATATGAGACACAATAGAAAATACATTGTGTCTCCCGTGGATCCACGTATAGACACACGACGGGTTCACCCTTTGTCAAAGTCAAAGTCAAAATCATTTATTTCAATTAGGCCAGAATGGCACTATTGAACGTCAACAAAAACAAAAATTTAAAGTGAAGCTATTTGCTCATTCCAAGGCGTAGATTCCTATGGAGAAGAACGAGCAAGAAACTCCATAGGTTACTCTTTTTCAATCAGGTTCACAATACAATTTACTAGTTACATAGTTTTGCTGTTTGGATTGTGCGAGAACAATGTAACACTAAAATCCAGTCAAAGTGATCAAAAAAGAAAATAACCTTAAGGACAGTAATACAGTCTGGAGCTGACCAGTCCCAGTTGACGGCGCCCGTTCACGAACATGACACGTACACCAGTACCGCCCAACTCAACCATATTGTAGGGAATCGAGCGATCCACTGCACGCGCCACCGCCAATGAGACCTTTGAGTGAGCATGACAACTCTAAGCTGACACAAATGAAATCTACTAATCTAAGTACCGTCAGTTTGAGTACCGTCATTATAGACATAAAAGAACAATAGGTTGCGGTCACCGGTGTCCTCGCGGTGTTTGACAGTTTAAGGACTACGATTAGTTAATTATTTAACTGCAACGTTTATTTGAAAGTGCGGTTGCTAATTGCCTAACCAAGCATATCGTTTTCTGGATGGATACTATTTTTTCGGCGTTCAATGGTAATTGGCTCACCTATTTTATTATCTTTTTTTAAAAACAAAAAAAGCCATTGCCCCACACTAGGATTTTCTCCTGTGTTATGGGTGCGTTTTCAAACATACAAGTTCACATACACATGACACCCAGACTCGGAACAACAATTTGTGGATCACACTAAGAGTTGCTCCATGCGGGAATCGAACACCCGGTTGCCCAACGCACCAACCCTGCCGTCAATCTTCGACAACCCAGTGGATTTGAAAAAAAACATTATTTTGTTTTTTTATTTGTCATCTTTTCCTACAATTTGTATCAATGATATTCTGTCCATAGCGCGGGAGTGGGTCGCACGGGTGTGTTCATCACGCTGTCGACGGTGTTGGAGCGCATGCAGTACGAGGGCGTCGTCGACGTGTTCCAGACGGTGCGCACGCTGCGCACGCAGCGCCCCGCCATGGTGCAGACTGAGGTAATAACTATCGTGAGACATACTAAATTAACTAAAAATCACGGGTTACTCACGACATTGGCTGTGCAACATTGCCGCGACCGCACACGCTGCCCATGAAGAAGAGCCCCTCTGTGGCTCGAAACTAGTAGAGTTTTCTCAATATATTTACGGGAGTAACCCGCGATTTTTAATTTAATTTATGTATTGTTTGATATTTACATAATATAATTATATCCTTTGTGTACACCAGCGGCTAGGTTATTTAAGCTTTCCGGTAGATTTGCAATTGTTATTCTGGCCTGGCCTTTCTATAACGAAAGTAAGGTGTAAAATCTGCCTTGATACCTTTGCCTATAAGTATAGGGCCAAAACCCTAAGCAAGTTGAGGCAATGTTTAAAAAAAGAAGAGTAAGAATTGAAATACCTGTTTTTTATGTTATGAGAACCTCACTCTCTTCTCTGATAATACAATACCTACTGATAATCCCGAGTGTACGGCGCGTCGCTTTCCGCGCGCGACCCAAATAGCCATCAGACCACCACAGATGGGGCCCAATAGGGCTGATGCCGATTCGGAGCCGCGGAGAACTTAACGGGTTACCGGGGCTCCGGCTCGAAATGCAGCAGTAGGAACGGGGTGGTTTTTATTTAGTAAGAGTCTGACACTCCCTCCCGCCTCACCCAGGCGGGAGCAGTCATTCGATGATTTTCCCCCCTTAAAAAAACCTACTTATAATAGATCATTTCAATTTGCAAAAACTGCTCTATCCTTCACGATTCCACGACTCCTTTGGCTTTATTCCACTTGACTTACAAAAACTCTCTAAACCTTAAAACATTCTCCTACACAAAATAGCCTTTTTTATAAATAGCACCTTAATTATAATAGCATAATTACTGTTTTACGTTGAACGCAGTACACGTTGATTTATGTTTGCAACCTGTCGGCCAGAAGTGGGTCGCAGAGGTGTTGACAAGGAAGCGTGCATGCATTCCACCTAACTAAATGTTATACTAAGCCCCTTCTTTGTAGATGTACAAAATATTAACGCTCTTCTTCATTTGGTTTACTTAACACGTTAAACGCCATGGGGGTCACCGGTGACCGCCGTTAGCGGAGGATTTACCTTCAACAGTTTTTTATTGGCAGTCAAAGTCTTAAGTAATTTACATTATTTCATTCAAATTTAAAATGTCTCTTTTACATTAATGTATGGGACATTGACTGAATTAGTCCCTTTTATTTTTTTTTCTCTAAAGCCAAAATTTTACATAACATCATAACATCACTCCTTTCATCCCCTAAGGGGTAGGCAGAGGTGCACATTATGCCACTGTACAATGGAACACCCACTTTTCACGATTTATGCTATGAGTCCCATGTAATAGGGAGTGAGCCTACTTTGCCCGACCTGGGAATCGATGCCAACGAGGCAGCCAACATTTTATTGCTTAAAATAAGTTTCCTAACAGCCGAGTACATACGTAAACTAGCAACTACATTCCATTTAATGTAGTTTCCAGTTACATAGCTTTTATGGGAATATTCTTATTGAAAAGATTTTTTTTTTTTTGAAAAAGGTACGCTTTGGGAAACTGTATAAAAAGAAATCAGTAACCACCTATGAACAACCAGGTTTCAATAAAATTCTAGTTTCTAAGTCATATTTTTAAACATCATTCTAATTTTAATTATTTTCAACAGGATCAATACGAATTCTGCTACCGCGCTGCACTGGAGTACCTTGGCTCCTTCGACCACTACGCCAACTGACGATGAGACATACTCGTCTAAACGCGCCCTAGGGGACACTGTCGCGCGGAAACATGACGTATGTACTTAACTATATGATCGGATTTTGAATAAAGAAGTATTGTCACTGCATTTCGGGTACCTGAATTATGTAAAAAGGTTTTTTTAGCGTATTTTGTCTCGTCAAAAACAATGACTTGTCTTATTTAATTTTCAAAAAATAACCTGAATTAAATTAAGTGATTACTTATTTGATCGATGTTATCAACTTTTTATGTACAGCCTACGTTCTTATCTTCACCGCCATAAAATAAAGACAATAATAATATTAAATACCTACCATAGTACTTACATCTAAACTCAATCTCACATTACGAACTCGGAACTAGTCAAAAAATAGCTGTCATCATTTTCCACAATTTCCCGCCAACCACAGATAAAAAATGCAATACTTCTTTGTTCTGTCGTCGTCACAGATTATAAATATCTAACGACAGAGTCCCGCGCTGAATATGACCCTAATATAGTAGTGATGTACCCGTGACATCGACTGACTGTCATTTTCAACTTCGTATAAGAGGCTAAACATGTATGAGTGCCTAGGAACGCTACTTATGATGTATTTTACGATTGTGACCACTAAAAATCATGATTGTGAGTCGGAAGGGTAATAAATATAATTAATTATTATCCTATTATCTAACTTATGATAGAGTACAAGTCGGGAGCATATTCAGTACACGTTGGGCTGTTTACGATGTTGACACGACTGAGTACTGTATAAAAGTTCTCTATATTCATGATGAGTCGTAAATTCTTATGATACGTGATGTTAGTTCGGTTGTATAAAGCGTTTACGATGCGATGGTTATAAAGTGTAGACATAACTTGACGTAACTAAGTATGCTCCTACTTACGCAGCTGTTCGTGCTATTTTTGTCTCTAAATCGGAACAGTTAAAATGTTAAAGTCCATATAAACAGTTGAATTATACTTAGATGCATTTATATTACGAAAGAGTTTTGAGATGTATTTAATGATCAGTGTAATGGTTACGCCGTGAATATATAATTTGCGATCAAATATAACGTAACATTAGTGAATGAACAGTGCGCTTAGAGACTTAAATGATAACTTTATGCGATATATGATATTCAATTCTGATCGTCACAACATATATACAAACATAATATTGTAAAATGTATAAATAGTTATTGCAGCTGTAATTAGAAGTTTATTTTTCATATCGGGTGTTAAAATATGTTAAGTAGTGTAAATTGTGGTAACACGTTTCATTATTGCAATACCTATTATATGAAAACTTTAGACGAATCGGCTGTGTCGTGTGAAATTTTGTGTCTGTCCTGTGCGTAGTGCATAATGTTATGTAAATATTTGTAATGTCCAACATCATTTTGTGTTGCTTACGTTGTAATTTTAAACTTGCCCAATTAAACCAGCCAATCATGTTGACGTGACGGACATTAACGTGCGACCAGCGACATATTTAGCATACGTTAGTTTATATATTTTGAACTTGAGTTTAGTCGAACAAACAATTTATTGTGTAAATTTTAAATGAAGTATCATTAAAATAAGCCTCGGTCTAACGCTATGCTAAAAATGTTAGTAGCCAGAATATTTTTTTTTATTTGCGATACAAAGAGACAATAGAATAGTTAGCTTTTCGAAGACGTAACTTTACTTGAAGTTTCTCTTTATTTGAACAATCACTTGCTTGCTTCTAGAGGATGATCGTGATTCGATGACATATCTATATGTAGTTAGATAAATATGTTTTGGTGTGGTAATGATATAGAGGTAAGCATGACGATTCAATTGTATTTGGATCGTAAAACTGTAAGATGTTAGGTATGAACAATGGACACTGATAAATGCATGGAGAGTTCCAAAGTACTAAAGAGGAGGGGAAATTTTTTACATTTCTCTTTTGCTAAAAATAATGTCAAGAATTTTCTTTCCTTGAACTTTATTCTTCCCTTAATTTATGCTTCTCATTAAAAACGTGGGGAAATAATGGACGAGGAGGACAGTTCGAGTGAATCAAACGTGACTGCCACGACTCTGTAACACTATTTTAAGCTATCTTTAAGTGTAGTATGTTATTTAATCTTTTACCGTAATCTCCTTGCATAGTAAATGTATAAGATTTTTACGTTTTTCACTCGTTTTGTACAATATACCTACTTATATCGATCTACCTACGTATAAGTTAAATTTGAGCTTGTATGAAACTAGGATTATAAAAGTTGAAGCAGTTTTCCAAACGTTATACGTAGATATGCGAACAATTCAAGTGTGGCTCATATCTAAAGGAATTAAACTTAATGTAAGTACGTATGAATTCGGTCGGGTAATCGGCCGCTGACATTCGTAACTGCCAATCGTTTCACTTAGCTATAATAAAGAATAAAATAAAGAATACAATAAAATACGAAACGTACGTAGAGTTAATGAGAGTAATTGTTAAATTGAGGTTATAGTGAAAATTTAATACTCGTTGATGAATCGTGTATAGCAAGGTTCGAACATTTACACGCTAGAGAGCATGGTGGCTTGTTCAACATGCTTTAAATATTAGAATTGCTGCGTAAATTAATTGAAAAAAATAATAATCTGTACCAAAACCAATCATTTTAATCGTTATAATCATTCCTCTTACCTGTATATTTTACTTTTTTTTTCATTTCAATCATTTGTAAACGTTTCCGAACGCACATAAAGATCTCTTGTACAGTTTTTCGTATTGCATTGTTAGGCTTAGGTATTGTATCATTCTGCCACTAGGAATATTTTATGTCGAATAACCTTTGCAGTACCGCGTAACTACCACAGATTAAAAATATTAAATCATGTTTGTGAATCACCAGTAATTTTATCTTATTTTTAAGAACATTTTCTTAACCAAAAAATGAGCAATATTTTAATTATTTTCATACGGTTACGCAGTACTGTGTTCAATGATTTAGTAATATTGTAATGCCATATTAAGGTGCTGTCTATTCCATTATTTAGTACAAATGGTTGTTTTTACACGCGCGCATGTCTCACTAATAAAATCATCGTTGATACCCTATGTTCGGTATGTTAAGACTGATTTTACCAACTAATTTTTATGTGTTCTTAATTTTTATTTGTGTATTTTCAATGTAGTTTTCACCATGGAATTCTTTGTTGTTAATTGTTTTTGTATATGGATGCCGATTCATTGTGATGTTTATGTTTACATTTAATGAACACTGTTCGCTTGCCAGTGTGGGTATTGTTGCTTGGAAGCTCATGTTAAGTCATGTTAAATATGAAATGGTCGTTTGACCCAAGTACTTAAATATTTCCAATGTGACATTTAAAAAATGAAGTCGAGGAAATATAATGTGCCTAATGGATCCGTCACTCAATTACGAAACTTTTTTAATTAACTCGATCTCTGAAAATATATAAAATTTTTGGCGCGAAGAGTTTCGCGCCTAATTTTTTTTCTCCGATCAACAGTGCCCCGAATCGAATGATGAATTGCTTATTTTCTTGCATTGTAACGAGTACAAAGATTGTGACGACTCGCCATTTAGTGTAACGCATTTTGTTGCTAAGAACGAAATATCAATTATGTAAAGCCCTAGCTTTAATGAAATATTTTAGTGCAATTAAAATGGCGGACGCAATATGGCTGGCGGGGCGATGTGTGAATGTAATGTAGAAGTTTGTAGACGACAATTATTTTGTAAAAATTCCCGCGCTGCGTCTCGGGACACAGTGGATTCGCAAAATTATACATATGTATATGGAGAAATAAATTTATGTGAGACCCATAACTAGTTTGTTTTCTTTATTTCCTTTTAATGCTGTCTAGACCAATCTAGATGGTTCTAGATGCATTTTGGCAAATACGGTACGTTATTGCAGAATTACAGGTTGGTAAGTAGAAAAAAACATAAATATTTTTAAAAGAAGATAACCCAATGTCATGTGGAGTATCTGATATATCCAGCAAGCTTTATATTTGATAGCTATAACGAATTGAGCCGTTTCACGTTAATACAACTCGATACGGAAAGGTTTTAAAAGTATTCACTTTTTATTTATTATTCATACGAGTACATTTATATATTTTTTTAATAAATTTTACCAAATTCATACGTAACGGTAACGTACATCGGACTTGCGGACGGCGAGCATGGGTGGCTCACCGCCCGACCAGACCCAGACCCGAGCGTACGGCGCCGAGCTATCAGACCCCCACATATTTTTTATTTTATTTATTGTTTCTTTATTTCAGGCAACTGTGGCCCATATAAAATATAAAACATAAATAAAAATACAATACAAACCTAGAAATGCCAGATACCAAAAAATGAAAACATCAATAAACTAATAGATATACAATAACAAAACTCATTATTATAATTATATATGGGGCCCAATAAGCCTGATGCCTATACGGAGCCGTCGAAGACTTAACGGGTTGCCGGGGCTTCGGCTCGAAGTGCAGGAGTAGGAACGGGGTGGTTTTTAGTCAGTAAGAGTCGGACATTCCCTCGCGCCACCCAGGCGGGAGAAGTCATTCGATGATTTCCCACCCTTAAAAAACGGTAACGTAGGTATACCTGTATATAACAGCATGATTGAGAAACAGTTCAATGGCCGAAATAAAAACAAACAATCTTAATCTCAACCCAAAATATTAGACATTTTGGGTTAAGATTACGATATGTCCAAATACTCAAATGATACTCAATTTTAAATCGCGCTTAAATATAATTCTGTCTCTACAATTTCTTTGTAAAATGACAGAGATGGCACGATCTTTCAGTACAACTTAAAACTTTGCAATAGTCAGGCGTAAATCGTTCTAGTAAAGAGAATTAACTCGTCGAGTACCGGTTTTATAGACACAATTAAAGAACAATAGGTCGCGGTCACCGGTGACCGCTTGGTGTTTGACAGTTTAAAGTCGCGATCTTTAATCCAACGACTTTTGATAGACATCGATATCTATACATATAATAAAATCGTGGGAAAGTGAAAACAGTAGATCGAATATTTTTTAAATGAATGCTTTGGGCGTGATCTACAGTCGATACCGAAACAAAAAATATGGTTTTTAGAATTTTTGTCTGTTTTTAACCGACTTCAAAAAAAGGAGGAGGTTCTCAATTCGACCGTATATATG